CTTTTGATCATAAACAAGCTTCTAACCAAGTTTGGTACAAATCCAGGATAGTTTAAGAAAGTTATTAAAATTTTAAAAACTTTAACCACAGAGTGAATGTAATGTTAACTGGCAGAAAAACTAAGTCCATTTATAAGTTAAATACGGAAAAAATGGAATTTTGTTTTTTACAAATTTACTTCTGGATACTATCTTATGATCATAAACAAGCTTCTGTCCAAGTTTGGTAGAAATCCAGGATAGTTTAAGAAAGTTATTAAAATTTTAAAAACTTTAACCACAGAGTGAATGTCATGTTAACTGGCAGAAAAACTAAGTCCATTTATAAGTAAAATACGGAAAAACAGGATTTTTTTTTTTACAAAATTTAACTCTGGATACTATCTTATGATCATAAACAAGCTTCTGTCCAAGTTTGGTAGAAATCCAGGATAGTTTAAGAAAGTTATTAAAATTTTAAAAACTTTAACCACAGAGTGAATGTAATGTTTCCTGGCAGAAAAAGTAAGTCCATTTATAAGTAAAATACGGAAAAACTGGATTTTTTTTTTTACAAAATTTAATTCTGGATACTATCTTATGATCATAAACAAGCTTCTGTCCAAGTTTGGTAGAAATCCAGGATAGTTTAAGAAAGTTATTAAAATTTCAAAAACTTTAACCACAGAGTGAATATTTGTGGACGCCGCCGACGACTACGACGACGACGACGACGCCGACGGAATGTAGGATCGCTATGTCTCGCTTTTTCGACAAAAGTCGAAGGCTCGACAAAAAGGGGGAGGGGTTTTTCACATGTCGCGCCGTATCTCAAAAACAGGTTATGATTATTGCTTAAAACTTTACACACTTCTTAGTTATATTAACCTTAAGATCTGTATACTTTTTGGTGATATTTCAACATTTTATTTTTGAGTTATTATTTTGTAAAAAAAGGGGAGGGGTTTTTCACATGTCGCGCCGTATCTCAAAAATGATTTATGATTTTCGCTTAAAATTTTACACACTTCTTAGTTATATTAATCTAAAGATCTGTATACTTTTTGGTTTTGATTCAAAATTTTATTTTTGAGATATTGATTTTTTTTTTTAAAGGGGGGTTTTCACATGTCCCGCCGTATCTCAAAAACGATTTACGATTATTGCTTAAAATTTTACACACTTCTTAGTTATATTAATCTAAAGATCTGTATACTTTTTTGTTTTGATTCAAAATTTTATTTTAGAGATATTGAGTTTTTTGTAAAAAAAAAAGGGGGTTTTCGCATGTCACGCCGTATGTCAGAAACTATTTATGCTTATTGCATAAAAATTCACACACAAGACGACGGGCGTATCATGCGCTCATGGCGCAGCTGTTCAATAGCCATGGCGGCCATCTTGGTTGGTTGGCCAGGTCACCGTACACATTTTTTAAACTAGATACCCTAATGATGTTTGTGGCCAAGTTTGGTTAAATTTGGCCCAATAGTTTCAGAGGAGAAGATTTTTGTGAAAGTTTACAGACGACGGACGCGGGACGACGGACGCCAAGTGATGAGAAAAGCTCACTTGGTCCTTTGGGCCAGGTGAGCTAAAAAAGAATATAATATGATGTCATAAAATAACACATATCAAGCACAATTCGAACTTGATCTGTAACTTGTCATAATAAAACAATACACCAAATATCAAATCAATATCTTCAAGCACTACGTTGGTAGGGGACTAAAAAGCACAAAAAGCACAAACTTCATCATTCTGCAGATGATCTTTGAGTTCTTGTAGGCGTTAATTGATTTGTGTGTATTGTCTTCTCAGCCTTGGAAGACAGCCTTTAATAGTGATTCTTGGAAAGGCTGATCTGGTAGAATTCTGAACAGCAGCTTCGTTATCAATAAAGAAAGTTGTTCCGTTCTAGTGAATCTGACGTTGGGTGTAGCCAGATTTCAGAAGTGTAGAGAATGTTGTGTTAATGTCCTTTGACTTTCATAGTAAAATTACAAAGACTAGTGGCTACATCTCTCCATCAACATGTGTGTGTAGAGCGTAGAGTGTAAATAATTTTATACTTTTTTTTAAATGCATGCATTATTTCTAAATTTATTTAAAAAAACTTTAGAGAAAGGTTAAGTAAAATTACTGTATTGACATTTTTTTTCATAAATACACGTAACATTGTAGATATATTTCATAAGTCAAAAATGTTATATCATTTAATCAAAAGTACATTTATCTAATGATTTAAAAAAAATGTTTTACTTTTTATTAAATTAATATTAAATAATAGTTTGAACATGCAATTATAAATTCTTGTTTATTTAGCAATACAAACAACAGTTAACTTGTTTATCTAAGAACATTTTATTTCATAAAATAATGTGGGACAATCAGAATTTTTCATACAGGACAATCAGAACTCTATAATTTTAAAAAGTGGGACAATCGGGAAAAATTAAAAAAATACTTGTGCTTTACCTTATGGTATCATTTTTTATTCCTCAAAATGCCTACCCTCGTTTTTATCAACACTTTTAGCAATAGATTGTAGGGATGTCAACTCGGTGAAGATTTACAAATCGAGTACTCGTTGGATTTACCGAGCTATACTCGAGTACTCGCTCGGAAAAACATCTACAAAATGGAAACACAAAACTATACCCATTTTATGTATTGTGGGACGTTGTCTTGTGGACGTTAACCCTCAATTTTATTACCCAGGACTAGATAATAGTCCTAGGACATTTATACCATATACTAATTATGTAAGCTGGCAATGATCTAATCAATTAATTAATAAACATCTATAGAAAAAAAGATTACTCAAACAATAGTCATTGGGAATCCTAAAAAAACACATTTAATGATCAGCAAAGGGTGATGATTAGAACTTACTGATGCCTTTAACCATTTTCTGAGGGTCGACACAGGGTGCAACAAAATTGTTCTTATTAAGTAATATTATCTTGTCAGCTTTTTCTGTGACGAGTTGATTCTCAGCTTTATGTAATTAAAAGTCCTGCTGATGAAAATATTTGCTCTGACGGTACAGAGATAGCTAAATGACTCAGACACGCTACGCTAAAAGTGTAAGTCTTGGAAAGGTGCTCTTGTTCATAGCTATATATATAGTCCACCTATGTTTGGAGTAATTTTAAATGACAATTAAACGCAAACATTCGAAACGTAATTATGATTAATTATGATTAATATTAAATTTCCCGGGAGGTGCTCTTAATAAAAATATTATTTCTTTAAGAAGGCAACAACATTCTTACAGGAAACCGATTAGTCGAGTATCATTTTATTATTCGATACTCGGTACTACCGAGCGATACTCGAGTACTCGAGTACTCGTTGACATTCCTGATAGATTGTGACAAAATTGCAGGTTTCTCAATACAGTCGAGGGGAACAAAATTAGCAAAATGGGGAAAAATTCCTACATACATGTACCTACCTACCCTGAAGAAGAAAACCCTAAACACTCATGTTCTTGTTTGTTTGTCCTTACAAAATAATTTACATAAATCTATTTAGAATGAAAATCATTCCAATATTACTCATATTACTTATAGAACATTGCAATCACCCTTTAACATTACAAATGAAATCTATCTTATATTACAAGTCCTTAATCAAATTACTATTTCTGCAAATATAGTATCAACTTGAAATTTATTCACTAGTTAAATTTGAAGAAAATAATTTAAGGCATCTACTATTACAATTATTATCTGATAAAATTTCATATGTATGTATTTTTCTATCTGTTTTTCTTGGATTTAAGTCATTAAAAAAATCTACATATCATTTTATCAAATATTCACCAAGTGGATCTGCTCAGACCTTATCACAATCCTACTTAGTGTTTGAAAATAACTCCTACTATTTTAATAGTGCATATTTTGCCAGGTGATCAATTTAAGTTCCTGAGAGTCTCTAGCTTTAATTGCTCTTAAATAAAAGTTATCTAGAAATTCACTTTGTCTAACATAATTTCAATAAAAAAATGCAGCTGCAAATGTTTCTAAGACATAAAATGCTTTAATTGTAAAATAATATAAGATTTAAAGTGGAACTTAATTAGTTGTTGTGTCATCCTTTAGTGTTTTTGTCAGTTTGTTATGCAACAAAGTAATTATTTTGATAACAGCACTTAGTGTAATTTTGTTTGATTAAAGCTTTAATTAAAAAATAAATAAGTTAGGACAGAATGCAGATTCTAACCATGATGGGATTACAATAGAAATTGGGTTCCACATAAATTTTGGTTCAGTTTTTATGGTTTTAGTTATAGTGAAGCTTAATAGAGTCTGATATTTAAAGAATTATCCTTTTTGTTGACAAAGCTTGCACACATTGTTGTTTTCTGTAGGAGCACTAAGACTTATCTTTTATGTTATATTAAGCTGCCATTATTACTCAGTCATTCATCTTTACAAAAAAAAACCAAGAAAACAGTTTTCAAGAAAAGGGCCAAAATACACAAAATATTGGTAAAAATTGTCATTTGAGGGCAATACTCTTATAGGCAGTACATGTGTACATGTAATTTTAATTATTTGTAGATTTCATTTTGCTGATCAATTTGTCTGTTTACATTTTCTCTCTATCTTCTATAACAAATATTTTCCAAGTTAGATCATTCATAAGAAGTATTTTGCTTATGATTTACAATGTATAATTTCCAAAAGTTATGATCACAAGTTATTAGAAAAATCCTGTATTTACCATTGAATCATTTGTTCATGTCTTAATTTTTAAATAAATCGTTAACATAAATTTTGTGATAGATAAACCTCAGTCTGTGCTCAAATAATTAGAGAGAGTTCTCTCACCGTTCTTGTTTATCTGATTGGTGAGAGAAAACAGGATTTCACAGGTACGACACATGAATTCATGGTGTCAAATTTCATATGGGGGGAAAACGCCTCACCTAGACAATACTTTATATATCAGATTGAATTATACAACTAGAAAACTTTGAGGAATCTCTTGCTAAAATGACTGGATCTAACCTGCTTATTAAAGTCTTTCTGAAGTTGTTCTTTTTCCTGGGTAGTTCTGTCTATTATCTGATCTTTTGCCTTTAAAGTATCCTCTACAAGGTCATTATGTTCTGTTATTTCATTCTGTGATTGTATATCAACTATTTGTTCTTCTAACATCTGAATTCTATCTTTAAGGTCAAGGTTGTTGCTTTCACTTTCACCCAGCTGAAATCAAGTCATTATAGAATTGTTTCAATTCTAAAATCTACTAAAAAGTAATTGCAATAGTCTTTTTGCCAATTTCGTAATTGACCCTGTAATCTAAGATCCATTTTTTAGTTACTTCCATTAGGACGGAAAGATTTTCATTGACAATGAAGAGCTAGTGGAAATACTATTAATCTGTGCACAATGTGTGTAATTTGTTTTTACCGATTATTATTTAATTTCATGTTGAAAGTCTTTAAAGGGGCATTAGCTACGATTTAGACAAATAAATATGATTCTTTTTGTTTTAACTATCAATAAAAGTGGAATGAAATAATATTTCATTAAAGGCAGTCAGTTTGGCCCAAATTTGTCAAAATAAGCTCAAAAACATCATTGATGTATTATTGACTTGCAAGTGAATAATTTAACCCCAATGAATCATATTCAAGTGACCTTCAATTTAACCTCTTAGCTGGATAAAGGTTACACATGTGCTCAGCTAAAGGAAAAGAATGTCAACATTGAAACAAGATGAACCATTTTGTTGACTGATTCGATCCACAAAAAATCATTCTTATACATTGTATATGTAAAAACGATAATAAACATACTTTTTAACCTATAATATGAAATCAAACAGACCTAGAAAAATCCAATTGTATGTGGTCGCTATCTATTTATATTTATGTTTATATCTGGTTACATGACCGTCAGCAGTCTTTGGAGGTCATTTTGATGGTTAATTAAATGATGTCTATAGATGTAAGAAGATGTGGTATGAGTGCCATTGAGACAACTCTCCATCCAAGTCAAAATTTATAAAAGTAAACCTTTATAGGTCAAAAACAGTCTTCAACACGGAGCCTTGGCTCACACCGAACAGTAAGCTATAAAGGGCCCCAAAAATTACTAGTGTAAAACCATTCAAACGGGAAAACCAACGGTCTAATCTATATAAAAAACAAGAAACGAGAAACACTTATAAACCACATCAACAAACGATAACTACTGAACATCAGATTCCTGACTTAGGACAGGTGCAAACAAATGCAGCGGGTTTAAACGTTTTAATGGTACCAAACCTTCACCCTTTTTCTGAAACAATAGTGTAACATCACAACAAATAAAAACACACTATAAAATATCAACTGAAATAGCTTAACTCAATCAAAGGACATATTAACACCAGTGAGCATACACTGAACAAATAAATTTGACCTATGATACAATGTAAATACAAAATAAATAAACTAAGGGAAGAATAATAAAAGTAACATGTTATACCGGTATAAAATGTTAAACAATTTAAGAAAAACAATATGCTCGAACAAAAATATCAGCCACTTGCAATTAATATAAACACAGGTAAATGAAAATAATTTTGTTGTTAGGTATACGTGTGCAGTTCCAATAGAGAAAGGAAATATTTTTACAAAAGAAATAATTTTGATGTTCATAGTACGAAGTGAAAATTTATAGTAATACCAAAAACTTATCAAAGCTGGTATACAGACCAGATATAACCCTGAATAACATTAAATAACAAAAAAGCATTACAATTAGTATCAACAGGTCAAATAAACAACGAAGTACGATTTGAGAGTACTCGCAGTTACTGACTAGTTACTAGACTACATACAAAATACTGATACAAATTATTAAGTCCATGCATTGTTAATTGTTTATTTTAGACTTTTTGTAATTTGGATATATATGTTTTTGTACATTATAGATCAAAGATGGGAATTTGATAACCAATGCCCCCTTTTAGGTCAAGGTCTTATCACAGGTATCAAAGAAGGGAACCACCATGTAACTCTGATCTTTGAGTTACATTTTTTTCTGAAAAAAATAGTGTAATTCCAAACTTTAAAAAAAAAATTTCATAAGGGAGAAAGGGATAAAAATCTTTTTTATTTGGAGAAATGAACATTATTGCTATGAATCTCAGTTTATGACCAAACTCAGTAAAGACATGTCATTGTTACATTTGGTTGATACATTCAACAATACCTTGATGATATTTTTTCGTTAGATTATCCAAAGTTTTCTAAATATACTACCAAAATTTACCCAAAGGAACTTACTTTAAATAAATCTAACATAAACAGCAGTAGTTGTCCTTTTCTAGATTTAGACATTTCAATTTTTTAAGGGAAAGTCCATACTAAAATTTACAACAAAAGAGACGATTTTTCATTCCCTATTGTTAATTTTCATTTTTTTAGACTGTGATGTTCCTTTGGCTCCATCATACGGTGTTTATATATCCCAACTCGTTCGTTATGACCGTGTGTGTAGTGATGTCATAGATTTTAACGAACGTAATCAATGCATCACTGGAAAATTATTAAATCAGGGATTTAGTTACCATAAATTACTTCAAACTTTTACTAAATTCTTTCATAGATACAAAGATTTGAATAGTAAATTTGGCTGTACCTGTAGAAAACTTATTAAAAACAGTATTTTACATCCTAAATTTTACGGTAATATTGTACAAAAAGCGCGAAAATCACTATGTGATCCGTGTAAACTCATCAAACCTTTAAACAAACTTATAAGTAAAGGTTATCTTACCAATGTTGTAATTAGATCTTTGAATATAGTTTACATTGGCACAAATATTGATTTTGTCATCAGCAAATTAAAACATAACTAAATTTGTATTCTTTTCAAACATTTTTTTGGGATGTATAAATACACATCCATGTTCATTTTACATATATATTACATTCTACATATTTATTAACAGGTTAACTCCTCACTATCCTACTGCCTGTCGATACTTTTATTTTGGCATTGCACTAGTCATGTCTTCTTTGACTGTCCATGACGTTAAAACACTAAATCCCTGGGATGTGTTTTAGTTGATTAAAGTCTCTGATGCATGATTTTTTATTATTAATTGTTTTTGGCTTTTAACTAACTTTCGTGTTAACTAAGACCTGTTGATACAATTTGTGATGTATTTTTATTATTTAATGTTTACTTATTTGGTGTTATATCTAGTCTCACTATTTTTAATATATACCACCTTTGATAAGTGTTTAGTATGACGATATATTTTCACTTTTATTCTCGTACTAGGAACTACAAAGTTATTTACTTTGTAAAAATAATTGTTTCCGTACTCCATGTATACCTTACAACAAAATTATTTTTATTTACCTGTGTAGGTTATTTTATTTGGCGGTATTTTGTCCAAGGTTATGGTTGTCTTTCTGATATTGTTTTACATCTAACCCCCTTGTTTTATTAATTTTGTATTTACATTGTGTCATAGAACAAATTTATTCGTTCAGTGTATGTTCACTTGTTTTTGTTAATATGTCTTTTGATTGAGTTAAGCCATTTCAATTGATATTTTCTAGTGTGTCTTTCTATGTTGTGATGTTACACTATTGTTTCAGGTAGGGTGCAGGTTGGTGCCTATTAAAACGTTTAAACCTGCTGCATTTGTTTGCACCAGCTGTCCTAAGTCAGGATCCTGATGTACAATGGTTGTTGTTTGTTGATGTGGTTCATAAGTGTTTCTCGTTTCTTGTTTTTTATATAGATTAGACTGTTGGTTTTCCTGTTTGAATGGTTTTACACTAGTCATTTTGGGGGCCCTTTATAGCTTGCTATTGGGTGTGAGCCTAGGCTTTGTGTTGAAGGCTGTACTTTGACCTATAATGGTTTACTTTTACAATTTGGGACTTGGATGGAGAGTTGTCTCATTGGCACTCATACCACATCTTCTTATATCTATTGACAGCAGGTCTTTGATAGTTTGTTAGTAAGTTATTCACAACATTTTTAGAATTAGAGTGATTAAGAGCTTGACATATTGTATGATCAGTTGACTAGAGTTGAAGACCCCTGGAAGTTTCAAAATTCTTCGTGTTCTTACTTAGGTTGATGTAAACATAACAATTCCTTTTATTTATATGCTTGAAAAGTAACATGCATATGTCTTGTTCCAGGTCAGAAAAATTGATGAAAATTTTTAAACACTTTTACAAAATACCTGTTTCTTTAATGTAACTATTAATACATCTCTTTCTGCAGGACAGGTAAAATTTGAAACAGGTGAATTATTTTCTTTCTCTTCTTCATTTTCATCAGTACTTTGCACAGATTGTCTGACCTATTTTAATAAGGAAATATAAATTTTATGCATTATCTAAATCATATATATATACAGCTAAAATTCCTTATAAGTTCACACAAACAGATGAAAAATATGAGTGAATCAGAGTGATATTTCTTTGTCTTTCTCAGCATATACAGAAATATATTTGTAAAATATTTCAAATTGAAATAAAACCTTTAGTTCTTTAATTGACAAATAATTACCTGGTACAATTCTCAACTGAAAACAATTGTCACAAAAACCTGATAGTGGTTTTCTTGAAAGTCTAGCAAGCTATGAAATTATGAAATTTTAAGCAATTCTACAATTCCCTTATCAATATGCCATGTTGAGTTGATATCTTCTAAATGTGTCCAATTCAGTTCAGTGTCATCTCATCTGAATTCACAACAACAATTCTTTTGTGCAGTACATGTACATCATTCGAAGTATAAAATGATGATTTGACTTTTTTCTCATAGATTTGTGTTCGTCATGTGGAAAAAATCTGCAGAGGCTTTGATAATTGATAGTATATATGTGTCCATTGTGTCCATAATCACCAATATAGAAAGTGCTTAAATTACCACACTTTTTTTATTTTTATTTTTTTTTGGGGGGGGGGGGGGGGGGGGGGGAGTTTGCTTTAACTTGAAACAGTAGCTTACATTTTTTTCTTTGTTTTATGTCTTTTTTTGCAAGTACACCAAATTTCTAACATAGACATGATAAAGGAAATAAAGTTATATATATATATATATATAATGTTGTATATATATATACAAGTCTAAATTGAAAACGACGTTCAAACCTATGATTGCGTTGGATAAAAACCGCAATTTTTATACGTGTGCATGCAAAACAAATTTCTTGGTAGAGGGGTCTAAATACAGCACAAACAACATTTTCCAAAAGACCAAAAAAAGTGAAAAAGTATATTTTAACAAAACGCATTTGACTAACAGGTCGAACAACTGATGTTCTTAAACCCTGCTGACTGCCAATGGCGATTGCCATATATATATATATATATATATAAGTGCCTATAAATAGCAACACAATGACATACAAATCTATGGGAGTGTGGATTAATCAGTACAGAGATTAATACAATTACACAAATAAAATTATAGATTAATACACTATTTAGTATGTAAATATTAGAATGTTTAAAATATTTACAAAACGATAAAAATAAACGCAATATTTCGCTAGACAAACTAGCTTTATCAAGCGTGCATCTATCCAGGTGAAATCGGATATAGATGATAAGAAACTTTTGCAGCTCAATGTTCATGTTGCACATGAATTTAGCAATATATATATATTGACAGAGAAACCCCAAAATATCAATAAGATTAAAAATTCAAACACGAAATCATATATGAATAGCATACATGTACACCTTGGATAAAGTGACATGATGTTTCACTGGGAATCACTGCAACAACATGGCATAAGAAGCAACCTCCTGTCTTAAATAGGAAAAGGAAGAAGGAACATGTCAGATAGAAGTAATAAATGAATATCTTTGGACTATATATATGTATATAAGTGTACAGTTTACAAAGATATTTTAAGAGTAAAATACCTGAACATTCTTTGATTCATGTGACAGGGACCTGTTCAGAGGTCTGAAATGAAAAGAAAAACATTATTATCACCGGTTCATTTAAGGAATGGCTGTTATATTTTTTCTTTCTATGAAGAAATAGCATAAAAAAGGTGGTGCACACTGAATAACCCGTGTAGCGTGTTATTTTAAAGTGTGCACCACACTTTTTTAGGTTATTTTGAGAAGACAGAAAAAATATCACAGTCATTCCTGATAATATTATTCTTAATTCCATTTTTAAGGAGTAAATCATGAAAAACGTTAATGACTTCAAGGTCACATGACAAAAAATATGTCTATGAGCTGATAGACAACAAACTTTCAGCCAATCAGAAGACATGTTACATAAAAAATTAAATTATTTGTTATTAACATAAGCAGAACATTATTCATGTTATTTGAAGTGGTGTATCTAATTAACACCAAGATATTGATAATTTAGGAGTGGGGTCTTTCAGCGATTTTACCATATATTATTGAAAAGCATGATAAATAGAAACGACCTTAAAAAAAAGTTTTGTGGGGTTTGTTTGACTGTTAGTTGTTTAACAGATCTATCAAGAGGAAATTCATTAAGCAAAATAATCAAACTATTCTGTGCTTTTCCAGATGTTTTAGAATGTGTTTGCAGATTAATTGTTCCAACAGCTTGCAAGATACACAGGTCAGTCATACTGGCTTGAAATTTCTGCTGCATGGACATCTCTCATCTCAACCCTTTGCCCATGTTTTGGACAATGTGTCCCTTGTTAGAATATGACATAGAGAGTTTTCCAAACAAATTGAATGATAATATAACGTACATATAGAATTCCTTAAATTTAAAAGAATAATAGGTTAATGTCATGATGACAGAATATGACATCAGAAAATGAAGTTTGAGGACATTTCCCAAAATTCTTTAATACACAACATAAACATAAAATAAGGCGTTCACTTCAAAGTTCATTAAAAAAATATCACAGTCAAAGGGTTACATGTATATACTGGAGCTATGTTTGCACTCAACCAATCTTCAGGTAGGAATGTCACTATCTATTGATTTATGAAAGATTGTGGTGATGCTACATGTAGGTGCGAGTTCCTCTACAAAATTTTTTTTGGAAAGTGTTTGGAATTCCATCTGGTTACATATTTTTAATAATTTATGTATGCCTTCTGAAATTTTATAGAACTGATTTGGAGCCTTCAATCAACCACCGACTGACTGAGTACAACAGACTTATTTACACTTTTGGGTATCTTATAATCTAGCTAAATTTGCTCAGAATTACCCTGTCTCCCAATAACCTTTTGGTGTCTTGCAACAATCATGTTTTAATTTTGACATCAAATGTTTTAAATTGTGACACAAAATTTTTCAGGAACTTGCTTGACTTTAAGTAATGGCAGAAAATTTGCATACAATTGTACATGTAATTATGACACTCTTAGATATTATAGCACTGAGAATGAATCCATGACAACTCACCCCATTTTTCTTCAAACTTGCCCACTTTCTACCTACTCATCCCTATCGTATAAACCAATTGCCCCACTTAACAAAAGGGTTTTAATCCTGCTGAATTAAGGCCTACAAAGTCCCCCCACTTGTGAAAAAGATTAAATCCTACTAAATTTGGGCCTACCATATAGACCCAGTTATGAAATGTAGTTTAAACCCGATGATTTTAGGTCTATCTACTGGACTTACTAGTATTTAACTACTTTTAATAAGTGGGCAGAGTTGGCAGGCCTAGATTAAACTGGAATTAGCTACTTTTAGGGGCTAGCTGGTAGGAAGTGGGTTGACTTTGCGAAAAGTTGGGCTAGTTTGCCTGGGGCAATTTGGTAGTGGGTAGAGTTGTCTTGCTTCCACTGAGAATCCTTATTCAAAAAGCCTTAGATGGGCTGTTTAACAATAAACATGGTACATTTGTACATTTTTGCACAGTGGTCAGTACTCAAGTTGAAATTCAAGATTTTTTCCTGTGAAATTCCACCATTCAATTCAAAAAGTTGTGACTACCTTGCATCTTTTGAGGCTGTATGGTCCACCTGAAATGAGTGTACTTGGCTGGATCGACTAGAAGCTGACCCCATTCTAAATAGTCTAAAATGCTACATGGACGCCGCCATTTGTAAACAACGTCTTGGTTACTTCGGCGTCTCGTAAGCGCTTCATTCCAAATCAGTAACTCTTTCTTATTGAAGGTTCAAAAGTTACTCAAATCTCAAAATGAAAACAAAGCCAAGTGAAATCATTTAACAGAGTTATTTCGAGATATGGAAGAGTGTCATGCCTCAAAAGTGCTACGTCTCCCAGTGATTCTTTATAAGATTTTAAATTTTCTTCCTTGTAAAGCTTTAAACTCGTGTTCAAGGTAAATTTATTGCAAAGCACCACTTTCTGTCACTCTTTCATGAATAGATGTACTTTATATATATATACGTATATATAAAAATAAGATGTCGGGTATGATTGCCAATAAGACAACTCTCCATCAGAAACCGAATGACGTAGATGTTAGCAACGCAAGGTCACTGTATCGCTTTCAACAACTAGCAAAACCTGTACCACACACAGGTACAAGACCAGGTTTTTTTTAATTTGGCATATATACATGTACATATATTATAAAAATCTCATGTTGTACCTGTGATACCATATAGCAAGCTATGAAAGGCCCGGAAATGACCAATTTTAACTAATTCAAATAAGAAAAATAACGGCCAGTTTTGTTAAAAAAAATAAATAAGCAAATATGAATTTACAACATCCACTGAATTATAGGTTCCTGACTTGGGACAGGAACATACAGAATATGGCAGGGTAAAACATGTTTGCATGCAGGCTTTCAACCCTCCCCCAACCTGCATTTACATTTGTCATTTTTGGGCGTTTTATAGCTTGCTATGCGATATGGGTTTTGCTCATTGTTAAAGGCAGTACAGTGACCTATAGTTGCTAACTTTTATGTCATTTGGTCTCTAGTGAAGAGTTGTTTCATTGGCAATCATACCATATCATTTTAATTTTATGTCCCCGCAGCAGCGGAGGGGCATTAAGGTGTTACCCTTGTCAGTCTGTATGTCTGTCCCTCCGTCCATACGTCCCAAAATTGGTTTCCGTTCTCTAACTTTTAAGTTTGCCTCAACCAAATGTCATGAAACTTATACACAATGCTTATTACCACAAAACACAGATCAAGTTTGAATTTGGGTTGCATCACTTTTACTGTTCTTGAGTTATGTCCCTTTCTAATGTTCTTTGTAAGCAGGGGCAACATCCGTGTCCTATGGACACATTCTCCATTTATTTTATATTAACATCAAAAGTAGTTAAACAGTCTTGCTGCCAGAGGGACATATGTGGCTATGCCAACTGTTCCAGAGAGACACATATGCGTATATTTTTAATTTATCAAAGCACATTTCCATTTCTGCATAATTATGTTTTCTCCTTCAAATAAAAAACAGAAGATTATACAGCGAAATAATTTTCTTCAAAGGGTCTCTTATGTAACATCCGGACATGACATCATATACATTTGTATCACATGTCATAGTAGGGCATTGTGATGTTAGCAATTAACACTAATAACATACTCTAAATTTTGGGGTTAAGATGTTGAATAATGCATCAATGACGTAACAGATTCACAGATGCGGATTTGGTTTAAATTTTGTCTCTTTCCTGTATTTCCTGGCAAACAGAATGTAACCACATTAAATTAATTACAGCAATAGAGGGTTAATGTCACCTTGTTTTTTATGCAAATTATAAACAACGTGTTATATACTACTTTTTTATTTAGACAAATTCTTTTATTTCATTTTTCAAGACTTATTCTGGATAATCTACATTGACAATAGAATAACATGTTGTATGAAAACACATGTGCTGGTACATGATTTCATCTTATGACATTTTTGATTTAAGAAAATTTAAGAAAACTTGAGAAAATCAAAGCTGGCTTCAGAAAACAAATTTATTTCAAAACAATAAAAGAAATATTATACATTTTAAATTCAAATTCTGTGCTTTTCTGCAATATATATACCGTTAGCAGCTAGGATTAATTATCTTGTTTATTTCAAGTGGCATTAATTTATGATCAGTTCAAAAATTAGTGAAGGGAAGATGGGCCTCAGACTTTAATGGCTGAATGACAATATGTTTGGTTCATTTGACCTGCCTCCTTCTTCTTCTTCTTGTCACAAAATAGAATATCCATTTTTATACAACTGCTAAAAATGTTTTGCGTCGTATAATGCTATGATGTCGTCGTCAGTGCCGTCCGAAAACACATTTGGTTTGCGGACAATCACTTTAGTTTAAGTGCATGGATCGCTAAGAAATTTTACCAGAAGGTTCAATACCACAAAAGGAAGATTGGGATTGGTTTTGGGGGTTATGGAACCAACAGTTTAGGAATTAGGGGCCAAAAACAAGCATTTTTGTAGTTTCCAGACAATAACTTGTGTATTAGTGTATAGATCTCTCAGATATTGTACCACAAGGTTCCATATCACAAAGGGAAGGCTGGGATTGAGTTTGGGGGTAATTGCCCAAACGGTTCAGGAATTAGGGGCAAAAAAGGGGCCAAAAACAAGCACTTTGTTTCCAGACAGTAACTTGTGTTTAAGTGTATGGATATCTCTAAAATTGTACTTCAAGGTTCCATACCACAAAGGCAAGGCTAGGATTAATTTGGGGGTAATTACCTCAAGGGGAAGGGGTTTCTAAAAGTTTGGGGGGATTTTTTTTTCCAATTTTTTTTGGGGGTTTATATTTTTTTTCTTTAAAAGTTTTGAAATTTCAAATGATTGGACAGTATTGTGCAATAGCAAGAAATCTTCAATTGCATAGTATTGGGCAATAGCAAGAAATCTTCAATTGCATAGTATTGGGCAATAGCAAGAAATCTTCAATTGCACAGTATTGTGCAATTGCAAGAAATCTTCAGTTGCACAGTATTGCACAATAGCAAGAAATCTTCAATTGCACAGTATTGCACAATAGTAAGAAATCTTCAATTGCACAGTAATGCGCAATAGCACAGTATTGCACAATAGCACAGTATTGAGCAATAGCACAGTATTGCGTAATAGCAAGAAATCTTCAATTGCACTGTATTGGGCAATTGTAAGAAATCTTCAATTGCACAGTATTGCGCAATATAGCAAGAAATCTTCAATTATACAGTATTGCGCAATAGCAAGAAATCTTCTATTGGCCAGTATTGCGCAATAGCACAGTTTTGCACAATAGCAAGAAATCTTAAATTGCACAGTATTGCACAATAGCAAGAAATCTTCAATTGAAAATAAATACAAATCTTTTAACCAATTTCAATGGGATTAATTTAAAGTCTTTAATTTTTTGGGGTTCTAATCTTGTATTACTTTTTGGATATTGGGACCCATTTTTAAATTGGTCTTCATTGAGGTCAAAAGGATCCAAAATTAAACTTTGTTTGATTTCATCAAATACTGAATTATTGCGGCTGTATGATATGCTGAATCTTATTGTGCATTTAGATTTTTTATTTTGGGCCCTGTTTTCAAATTAGTCCGTATTAAGGTTTGAAGGGTCTAAAATGAAACTTTCTTTGATTTCAACTAAAATTAAATTTTTTGGTGTTTTTTTATATGCTGAATCTAACCATGTTGTTAAATTTTGGATGTCAGACCATTCTAGGTAAATTAAATGTCCCATTTCAAATTTTTAAGATCTTTGACCACATTTATTTTGTGTCAGAAACCTATATTATGTCAAAAATTTGATCACAATCCAAATTCAGACAGTATCAAGCTTGAATAATGTGTCCAAACTTGCCCCAACTGATCAGGGTTAGACCTTTGCGTTCATATCTGGCTGCGCTCAGCGAATTTATTGTCATAATATATCTTAGATGTCTACTTTTGATAAACTTTGTTGCTTTGATTCCTTTTGAAATGACGTTACCTGGCATCTACTGTTATTGCCCCCACCACACAACACACTGCAAGGGACATAGAAATACTGGGTAGTCTGTCCATCCATGTGTCTGTGTGTCTGTGCATCCTACTGTCTTGTTAGCACTCTCACATGTACAATTCTTGCAAGATTTAAATCAGCAATGTCTCAGACAATTTTGAAAATCAGTGTATCAACTATTTAAAAGGAGTAATGCACCATGGTAATGAAAATTATATGGAATATTACATTGCAAGTGCTTTCAAGCTTACATTTCTTGTAGGATTGTGATGAAATTTTTATTTAAGATTTATATCAGAATTTAATGTCCTGGATGAGTTGGAAAATCAGCACTGATCAATTATTTTTACAGGAGTTATGTCCCTTGGAAATGTAACTCAGTTGGAAATTGAACAGGGATTGAATCCGCTAATAGTTGACTCTTCATTGGTCTTCATTGCTACAAAGCTGTTATTCTGCCCAACAAGGAAAATAACTCAGCTGCTTCAAATTATAATTTATAGTAAATTTCATTAGTTTGGAAATGAATGCAAGTGACAACACAATTTTATCAAGAATTGCTTCTGCTCTTCATGCAAAATGTGATGGTCACTTGCTTTCATTTCTTATTAGTTTAAAAAAAAAAACAGCTTTTGAATCTTTGATCAAATCTGAAAAAGGATATAAATTTTGACCAGTTTACAATTGTTGTTAGTCCCCTACTGACGAAGTCGAAGTGTCTGTCTGTCTGTCTGTCTGTCTGTCTGTCTGTCTGTCTGTCTGTCTGTCTGTCTGTCTGTCTGTCTGTCTGTCTGTCTGTCTGTCTGTCTGTCTGTCTGTCTGTCTGTCTGTCTGTCTGTCTGTCTGTCTGTCTGTCTGTCTGTCTGTCTGTCTGTCTGTCTGTCTGTCTGTCTGTCTGTCTGTCTGTCTGTCTGTCTGTCTGTCTGTCTGTCTGTCTGTCTGTCTGTCTGTCTGTCTGTCTGTCTGTCTGTCTGTCTGTCTGTCTGTCTGTCTGTCTGTCTGTCTGTCTGTCTGTCTGTCTGTCTGTCTGTCTGTCTGTCTGTCTGTCTGTCTGTCTGTCTGTCTGTCTGTCTGTCTGTCTGTCTGTCTGTCTGTCTGTCTGTCTGTCTGTCTGTCTGTCTGTCTGTCTGTCTGTCTGTCTGTCTGTCTGTCTGTCTGTCTGTCTGTCTGTCTGTCTGTCTGTCTGTCTGTCTGTCTGTCTGTCTGTCTGTCTGTCTGTCTGTCTGTCTGTCTGTCTGTCTGTCTGTCTGTCTGTCTGTCTGTCTGTCTGTCTGTCTGTCTGTCTGTCTGTCTGTCTGCAAATCAGCTTTCCACACTTTTTTTCTTCATTCTTAAAGATATTGATTTAATATTTGTTATATGGTTTTATCATGACAAGTTATAGATCAAGTACGAGTTTGGTCCATTCTGATGGTTTAGTCCAGAGTTATGGTCCATAAAATAAATCCATATCTAATGTTAGAGTACTATGTTAAACCATATTTCTATACAAAGAGAGATAACTCATTTTTTTAAAGAAATTCTTCAGTAAATTGTTTGAAAAATTTGTGCCAGTTTGTTTGTTTGTTATTTTGTATTAACTAATTTTCTGAATGCTATATATATATATATAAAAATGATTATTCAGTGAAATCCTTTAATTAGATAGTAATCTATTTTCATTAAGGTATATATTTCATTACATTACATTTTGAAGATAAAAGTTGTTGACACTTTATAGATAAGTTACAAATCTATATTAGTTTGTGACAAATGAAAGAAAAAATATTTGGAACTATTAATTATATTTGATTATAATTTGAAAATAGATATACACTGTATTACATCATATCTAATTTTAGAGAACTATTAATCATATCCAATGTTAAGAGTGTTTTCCACATTTTTATCATCATGCTTGAAGATATTGATTGATAATTGGTATATAGTTTTATCATGACAAGTTCCAGATCAAGTTCAAATTTTTGTTTTGGTCTGATAATTTTCTGCATGTTATGGTCCTTGGACTTGAAAAACTCACTCATATAATCAGTTATTCACACTGTTTTTAGTCATGCTTAAATATAATGACTTGATATTTACTTTTTGTTTACACCATGACAAGTTATAGAACAAGTTAGCATTTTGTTCCAGTATAATGTAATTTTTACCCAGTTGGGGACTACGTATTGCCATGCAATACTCTCAGAATGCTTGTATATTTAGCTCTACTAACAGTTATGGACCACATGATAAATATGATCCTGAACAAATCAGTTCAGCTGTTTTATTTTAAAGCTGCTTACTCTGTCATACTACATACTATATTGTACTATGTGATGCATACTCAGTGTTCTCCCCAGGGACTTTTAGCATCATGATAATGTGATGCTATCTGAAGTGGTTTTCTTATAGATTATGTTATGGATGTGATGCTATAATTTTTAGAAACAAGATGGTATTTCAAATTTCCCTGTTTACCAGGATGCTATATGAAATATCTGGGGAGAACACTGCATACTATGATATTTAATATTATATTCATTGTACTTGATACCTATAAGCTGTATTGCTTTTGGAATGAAGAATATACTCTGTTATAATTGATAAAAAGATTGGGTTTTTGTTGATTCCAGAGTGTGTAAAGTCTGGAATGAATATGCAGCAACTATAAAGAAAAAAAGGAAGAAAATAGAATGGATGGCATTAGAATATGATGAAGAAGAAGGTCTGAACAGTAAAGCAGAGAACTTGTGCTCCTTCATTGAGGTATTGGCAGTGGAAGAATTATTTAAAAATAAGTGAAAGATTTCATTCTATTTTGTAACAAACCTTACGTCAGATCTAGTGTTTGTTGGGTTTTGTTTTTGTTGGCATTCTTTTGACAGAACAACAAGCATTCTATAGAGTTATGTATATATTTATGCTTACAGACATGGCAGATATAGTTGGTATATAGTTGTATAATGACCTACAGATTGAGTTAGTGTTTCTTTCTGGTTGACCAACTAGTTTTTTATGGAGTTGCAGCTGTTGGAAATATAAAATAATGATAAAAATATTCTGTAAAATATGGCATCCTAATAAAAAAATGTAAAGAATATTCAGTGATTTGTCATGCCTTTTTCTTTATAAACAAGTTTATTGTACCAATTTTATTTTTATTTTTTATGTAATTAATTACACTTTCCATCAATATTTGGAAAAATCACTATGTTTTGTCCACTGGGCTAATTTAATATCAGTTTTTCAGGTCAATCAGCTACCAAATAATCAAAAGACTGCAGTGTAATTGTATATCAATAGATAGATTTTAAAATGAAATGAATTAATTTTTTAAATTGCATTTTTCCAGGAAACCCAAATAATTTTGAAAATATAGCCTTGCCTGGTAAATTCCCAGTGCAATGCTTTTAGATTAAATGACTTGGGGATTGTTCATTGTAAGTTTGTTGATGATTTTATCAAAAAAGTTAGATTTAGCTGGAATTCATTGCATTAATTTTTTTAATTTTTTTTTGTCATTTCAGCAACTATCCAGTGAACCAGACCATCTTTTAATGTTTTGTACATCAAGACTCTATGAAAGTCCAATCAGTTTACCATCCTCTCATCCAACCAGGTTCCCACGCAATGCAAAATGTGAAGCTGTGGAAGTTAGCACCTTCATGGAAAAACTTTTACCAAAACTATGTCCAATATTTGCATTAGTTGCAGATGGTGTTGTAGGTTTGTATATATTTGTATTGTCAGATGTTATATTTCAAAACATAATAGAAAATATTCAGGGTCTTCAACATTTAAGAATGTGAAATTAACATTAAACTGTACAAAACATGTAGAAGGAATAACAAGATTGAGGTAATATTTTATATTTTGTGTATTTAAGATGTATGTTATGCAGATGTGACAGAGTTGTCAAGTCAAAACTGGAGATTGGAAAATTTTAAGCTTGAGTTTGCGCCTCATAACTCAAGATTTTTTATTTACATTATCATTATCTATGCTTTCAGTGTTCATTTTGATAATAATACAACATATTTCTTACCTTTTAAGATAAGATTATAACTTTTACTGTATTCTCTTAACAAATAACAACCCCCAAAATATTAAAGTTACAGTATTGAAATAAATTTGTCTGTTTTTGTAGTTACAGACCAAAAGACAAACAAGACATGTGAAATGGAAGACAGAGATGCTCTGACACTATTATCAATACCAAAAATAGATGGTTTCGATATTTATACCTTTTATGTAGATATCTATACATATGCAAACAGAATGGACGAAAGTGGAAGTGGATTGTTTGAGGTTGATCAAGTCAGTACTGTGCCAGCTGACAAAGAGGTCAAGGCCATTCTTTTCTTCTGTGATGAGCCATTCTGTCCCCCTGAGATTGGCTATACCTTGTTACAACACTATAAAAGCTGTGTGATTGCAGGAGGATATGTAGACAATTTCAATAGTAATAGGTAATTAATAGTTTCATTTTTAATTAAAAAGAGGAATTGTAGGAAGAGACAGGAGTCTCCAAAAAGATTTTTATCTGATATGTTAAAAAAAAGGGTATGATGTTGATACAAACATTTTGTTATCATTACATGTACAACCAGTGTCTATAAAATTCAACAGAAAATTTTAAACAGAGTACCTGCATGTATATGTTTAAACTTTTTTGTCAGAAATGTGAGAAAAAATATATAAAACATGCACATTTGTACAGAATTCATATAAGATTATTAAAATCAAAGGAAAAACAAGAAATTTATCTTAGAATCATTATTTCTGTAAATTTTTCTCTAGAAGACTTCAGGGGGCTTCGTTGGAAGGGTGGTCTAAGTCGTTCAAACACTGGCCCACTAGCCTGTCAACTCTGAGCATGCTGAGGTTGTGAGTTAGAACTTTGTATGTGGCAGGTGAGTTCAACTCCAATCTTAATTGACTAGGATTGCCATAAGATGCCAGTTCTTTGGACACTCTGGCTTCATCCGCCCTTAAAAACTTGCCACCATGAATAGCCAATAGTGCTGAAAGTGGCGTTAAAACACCAAAAATCAATCATTGAATCTAGAATTCTTCTGGTTCTTTTTGTCATTGGGTTGCTGTCTCATTGATGTATATCCCACATCTCATTTTATCCATAAACTCTAGCAGATGGTGTTTATAAGCTATAGAGTCCTTTGCTAATAGAATATATTTTGGGTTCATGAATTATATTCTGATATATAAACCATTTAAGAAAACATCCAAGTAAAAACAGAAGAAATAATAAAATTTGTATTGTTTTGTAATTCATTGAAGCCGTTCAACTTAATATTGTTATATTTAGTTTCTTACTTAAGGTGGTATGGGAGTATAAACAAGAAATTATATTTTTTCATACTTTGCCAAAATGTAGTATTTATTGTGATATGTTCAAAAATACAATAAAAATGATAAGATTAGCGAGCTTTTTTTCAAGGTACAGGTTGTAAAATAAATTACTCATTTTGTATGGATTATAGAGGGAAAAAACATCATTATGTGAATAGAATGTAAACATAATGATAGAATTGTGAAATAAAATATGAGAAGATAGCGCTTAGAAAATGCTTTCAGAGTACCAAAGGAAAAAATGGGTCACCTTTCATTTTTCCCTGTTATAGCATAAAATGGAAAATTTTTATATAGATTCCGTTTAAAATTATACTATTTCTATGACTGAGTAACCTCCCCTTAATACCATAATTTAAAAAAAAAATTGAAATCAAGCAAACACAATATACCTTGGTAAAAATATTAGTAAATATAAGTTAAAATTACAAAAATTTCTTCATTTAAATGAAAATTCACATTACTTAATTACATTTATACATCAAATTTGCTTTGCTGACATGATTGAAAATCTAGACTTGTTGTGTTCTGCTATTTTACAATCCAAGATGGTGAAAGACATTCATACTACCTTAAGTGATGGAAAGAAAGATTTTTATTCATGACAAAAATCCCAACGCACTTGTAAAAATATTTTAAAAAAAAGGACCAGCTCTTTTATGGCTGTTCTTCATCTCAAAGAGGTAGTGCAGTCTTAAATACAGAATAAGAGCTCTTGCCTCATTGTAAGTTTAAGTAGATTTCTTGCTAATAAGCCATAATGATGTTTAAAATGGAAATGAATCAGGCATTTACACATCTTTCTTTTCTGAAACTGCCTTGTTCATTATCTCAATATCTCAGTGGAATCAAATGAATTAAAAAGAAATATCATAAAAATTATTCATTTGAAAAAACCTTTAATTCAAAAATAAAATAGTAACTGTAAATTCAGATATTATTGCGTGCATTTATTATTGCGATTTTGTCATTTTAGACTAAAATGTGATTTTAATTTTTTGCGATATTGAGAAAAATCCTGTTTAATTCATATAAAAAAATTCAAAATGCAAGTTTAAATTTTTGCGATTATAACCCTGCTGCATTTTTCACAATAATAAAAACATCCCAATAATTTTTGAATTTACAGTATTTATTTTCAGAATTGATTTTGATTTATTTCTAGGAATTCTGAAGCATCATTAATGTGTATTGCTCTCTGTGGTCCAAGGGTCCATGCTGCTTCTGTAATAATACGGGAAGAAGTCAACACAGCTCAAGAAGTGGATAAAATCATCAAGAAACTCAAAGATTGTAACATTCCTGAAGAAAATAGTTTTGCTTTTATGTTTGCATGTATTGGACGAGGTCGAGGACATTTCAAAGGATCTGAAAATGTTGAGTCAAGTGTTTTTAGGAAATACTTCCCTAAAACACCTTTATTTGGATTTTTTGGAAATGGGGAAGTTGGATTTGAACATTTACATAAATATGAAGAAAATATTAAGACTGGAGAGGTACCATCAGAGATTCCTAATAAACCTCTTCCAAAACTATACCATGCATACACTACAATTATTTGCTTGGTGTCAATTATTTAAATTTATTTCATAAAAAAATCTTAAAAATATACTAGTAAGAAATTGTGCAGTATGTTTTCTCTCCCCCTTGCATCACGCCTCAGGAGATACAGTAATGGTCTCTGTCTGTCTGAAACACATCAATACTCTGAGACCATTTGAAATACTTGGTATGATTATTTGTCCTCATATTATCATGACTGGGATGTATCGTCGGTTTGATTTGACAATTTTTACTGGAGTTGTTGGACTTTATCTATTTTTTTTTTAGTATTGTAACAATGACACCTTGAGAATACAACTCCTCTGAATCAGTTTAAAAGAAAGCTCTCATAGTCATAGGATTGTTTGCCATCATATGTAGTTGACCATATTGTACTGCCATTCTCATTTGGCAATTTTTACAGGAGTTATTAGACTTTGGCCAATTATTTGTATTGTTACAATAGCACCTTGTGAACACAACTCCTGTGAGACAATTTTACAAAAAGGTCTCATAATTGGTGAGATTGTTTGCCATCATGTGCAGTTGGCCATATTATACTGTCAGTTTAATCTGACCATTTCTACCGGAGTTATGGGACTTTGACTATTTTTTGGAGTATTGTAACAATAACACCTTGTGAATACAACTCTTCTGAGACAGTATTACAGAAAGCTCTTATACTAATGGTAGGGTTGTTTGCCATCATGTGTTATTAAGTTGACCATATTATACCATCATTTCCATTTGATCATTTTTAAAGGAGTTATTGGACTTTTGACTTGAGACAATTTGTCAGAAAGCTCTCATATTTGGTATGATTGGTTGCCATCATTTGTAGTTGTCTAGTTGACAATTTAGTAGTTATTTTTACTAGACCATTTTTACAGAAGTTGTGGGACATTGACTATTTTATGGAGTATTGTGGCAATAACACCTTGTGCAACTCCTCTGAGACCATTTGACAGAAAGCTCTCAATAGTACTAAAAATATTGAAAATTGAACTTGACCTGTAACTTGTCATGATAAATCAATAAACCAAATATCAAATCCATATCTTCAAGCACGAAGAAAAAAAGTCTGGAAAACTGATTTGCCGGACTGACAGACGGACAGACAGACAGACAGACGTTAACAATTATAAAAATAAAAAGATGTCCATCAACTGTTGTGTGTATCTTTTAGCCTTTCAATTTTGATAAGATTTCTCTGCAATCAAAGGGCAGGGTGGGATAAGGGCTGAATTTAGCCTAAATGTTACTGAAATTTGAACTTTTAATCTAAGATTTCAATTTATGTCTGTTTTAAAGTTTATGTGCAGCAAAATTAAAAATCAAGAGTTTGTTACCCATGACATCACAAAGTTCATCTATACATTTATTAACAAAAACTTTCATGTAAATAGTTTTGTGATACTAGTGCATGCGCTCAATATTTTCCAATAATAAATATGTGTAAAAATATGTTAATTTTGCCCTTTTTATACGACCGCAAAAATTAAAAATTTTTTGGTCGTATATTGGTATGACGTTGGCATCGTCATCGTCTGGCGTCGTCCGAAGACACATGGGTTTTCGCACTCTAACTTTAGTTTAAGTGAATGGATCTCCATGAAATTTTACCATAAGGTTCAATACCACGAAAGGAAGGTTGGGATTGATTTTGGGGGTTATGGTACCAACAGTTAAGGAATTAGGGGCCAAAAAGGGGCCAAAAATAAGCATTTTTGTTACTTCCAGACAATAACTTGTGTGTAAGTGTATGGATCTCTCTGACATTGTACCACAAGGTTCCATATCACAAAGGGAAGGCTGTAATTGATTTTGGGGGTAATTGCCTCAAAATTTTAGGAATTAGGGGCCAAAAAAGGGGCAAAAAACAAGCATTTTTCTAGTTTCATGACAATAACTTGTGTGTAAGTGTTTGGATATTTCTGAAATTGTACTACAAGGTTCCATATCACAAAGGGAAAGCTGGAATTGAGTTTGGGGGTAATTGCCCGAAACGTTTAGGAATTGGGGGCCAAAAAGGGGCCAAAAATAAGCATTTTTCTAGTTTCCAGACAATAACTTGTGTTCAAGTGTATGGATCTCTCTGAAATTGTACTGCAAGGTACCATATCACAAAGGGAAAGCTGGAATTGAGTTTGGGGGTAATTGCCCGAAACGTTTAGGAATTGGGGGCCAAAAAGGGGCCAAAAATAAGCATTTTTCTAGTTTCCAGACAATAACTTGTGTTCAAGTGTATGGATCTCTCTGAAATTGTACTGCAAGGTACCATACCACAAAGGGAAGGCTGGTATTGAGTTTGGGGGTGATGAATCATAAGGGGGTTCAAAAAATTTGGTAGGGGGGATTTTTTTTTTTTTTTTTTTTTTCCTTTTTTTTTTCTTTTAAAATTTTCCATTTTAAGTTGGTTATTTCTGATTAATATTTAAAAGCAAATAATAATGATATGGTAGGAGATACACACCAAACAGGATGTGTAAATTATTATATAATAAGTATTGTGCAATAGCAAGAAATTTTCAATTGCACAGTATTGCACAATAGCAAGAAATCTTCAATTGCACAGTATTGCGCAATAGCAAGAAATCTTCAATTGCACAGTATTGCGCAATAGCAAGAAATATCCAATAGCACAATATTGCGCAATAGCAAGAAATTGTCAATTGTACAGTATTGCGCAATAGCAAGAAATATTCAATTGCACAGTATTGTGCAAAAGAAGATACTTCGTATAAATTGCTTATTTCTTGATCAATTTCAATGGGGTTTTATTCTTGAATTCTTGGGGTTCTTTAATATGCTGAATCTAACCGTGTATTAAGTTTTTGGATTTTGGGCCCCATATTTAAATTGGTCTACATTGAGGTCCAAAGGGTCCAAAATTTAACTTTGTTTGATTTCATCAAAAATTGAATTATTGGGGTTCTTTGATATGCCGAATCTAACCGTGTATTTAGATTCTTAATTTTTGGTTCCGTTTTCAAATTGGTCTACATTAAGGTCCAAAGGGTCCAAAATTAAACTTAGTTTGATTTTAACAAAAATTGAATTTTTAGGGTTCTTTGATATGCTGAATCTGAACATGTATTTAGATTTTTGATTATGGGCCCAGTTTTCAAGTTGGTCCAAATCGGGGTCCAAAATTAAACTTTGTTTGATTTCAACAAAAATTGAATATATGGGGTTCTTTGATATGCTGAATCTAACCATGTATTTAGATTTTTGATTTTTGGGCCCCGTTATCAACTTTGTCCACATTGAGGTCAAAAGGGTCCAAAATTAAACTTTGTTTGATTTCATCAAAAATTGAATTCTTGGGGTTCTTTGATATGCTGAATCTAACCATGTATTTAGATTTTGGATATTGGACCATAATAGGTGAATGTCCAATTTAAAATTTTTAAGTTCTTAGACCACATTCATTCTGTGTCAGAAACCTATGCTGTGTCAAATATTGAATCACAATCCAAATTCAGAGCTGTATCAAGCTTGAATGTTGTGTCCATACTTGCCCCAACTGTTCAGGGTTCGACCTCTGCGGTCGTATCAAGCTGCGCCCTGCGGAGCATTTTATTATTACATGTAGAAGCATTGGAATAATAACATCTTTATAGGCTATTCAATTTCTGTAAATATTCATGAAATTTCAAAGTTACTGTATTACAATTTAAACTTTTCTCATACTTACATGTAAGAGATTGCTGTAAACCAACTTATTTTCATGAGCAATTTATTTTTTCTTGACTTTTGCAAATTGAATTTGTCACCAATATATGAAATTGGGATCTTCCCTTATATAAATTAAATATATCCAGATAAAAATAAGATAGCGGAAATGAATTGCCACAAAGTCAGCTACCTCCTTTTACTATATTTCTTTGTTTACTTTTCTTTAATCAATGAAGGTCGCCCATTGGAACTAACATTTAATCTGAATGGCTTTTAAAAAAAAAGTTATAATCTGTGAGGTATTCTTTTTCATAGATACAAATTTCCTTTGATGTTTGGGCAAATTTTGCATAAATAAATTGGGAATGTGTCCATGGGACACAGATGATGCCCCCGCTTGCATACACCATATTATAAAGGGACATAACCAAGAACAATAAAAGTGACGCTACCCAATTTCATACTTGATCAGAGTTTTACCTTCAGTTTAACTTTATCAGAACCACATAAAGTAAGGAGATTGGGTATGATTGCCAATGAGACAACTATCACTCAGGACTCAGAATCACAAATGGATTAGATGGAAATAAACACCTGGTCAGTCATGTTACATTGTGGCAGACAAGTAAAGAATACACATGCAGAACTTGAAGCCAACTGTTAAACAATAATAACCTTTGAGAATTCATCAAGAAGCACATGTGCCATACCAAAAAGAGAAGAGGTCATTGAGTCAAAACATACCAGATACCACACAAGAGTGCACACCGTGAAATGTCCCATCTACTTTACTGATCATAATTGAATACATGTTAAAAGTCTTAGAGAAAAAGGTTATACTACAAGTACAGTCGACACTCGTTATCTAGGAATTAACTGTACGAGAGAAATATTTAGATAAAATTGAGAATGGAAATGGGGAATGTGTCAAAGAGACAACAACCCGACCATAGAACAGACAACAGCAGAAGGTCACCAACAGGTCTTCAATGCAGCGAGAAATTCCCGCACCCAGAGGCGTCCTTCAGCTGGCCCCTAAACAAATATATATACTAGTTCAGTGATAATGAACGCCATACTAAACTCCAAATTGTACACAAGAAACTAAAATTAAAAATAATACAAGACTAACAAAGGCTAGAGGCTCCTGACTTGGGACAGGCGCAAAAATGCGGCGGGGTTAAACATGTTTATGAGATCTCAACCCTCCCCCTATACCTCTAGCCAATGTAGAAAAGTAAACGCATAACAATACGCACATTAAAATTCAGTTCAAGAGAAGTCCGAGTCTGATGTCAGAAGATGTAACCAAAGAAAATAAACAAAATGACAATAATACATAAATAACAACAGACTACTAGCAGTTAACTGACATGCCAGCTCCAGACTTCAATTAAACTGATTGCAAGATTATGTCTTCAGCATATGAATATCAGGCACAATCCTTCCCGTTAGGGGTTTAGTATCATACCATCATAACATATATGAGAAGAACATAACCCGTGTCATGCCAACAACTGGTTTTTAAATAAATGTGTTTAGTGCCGATGCAAAGACTATGAGTGGCCGTTCATGTCAAAATAGCGATGGTTCCATCTAGATGCATTTTCCATCTAGATACTTCGCATAACCATCTAGATGCTTCGCACAAGTATCTAGATAGTTCGTGTTAGTATCTAGATGCTTCGTTAAAGTATCTAGATGCTTCGTTGAAGTATCTAGATGCTTCGCTGAAGTATCTAGATGCTTCGTTAAAGTATCTAGATGGCCGAAAAGTCTTAAAATCTTTAGTATTCTGTCGTATTCTAACCAATTGAATTTGCGTTTTCTTACTCTACTGATTAACAAATTTCGCGGGATTTTAGAGAGGGAAACACGTAGTTTCTCTCCCCGTGAGCTTTATTCCCCGCACAGCTGATATGTCGAATCTTGAAAGATACCAACAATTGTTGAGAAGAAGCTTAATTAGAATTAGAGAAAGGACAGAGGAAGAAAATGGTGACGATAACGACTTTGTAACAGGGTAATAAATATTTTATTTCATCTCTAGTGTTTTAGCAGACTATTTTCGTTGCCGTAGGATCTATGACTTTGTCAACTCGTACCAGATTATTAATACATGTACCTCGTACTTTTACCAAACCGTACTTCTACAAATTAAACTCAAACCTAATTTTTAGATATTATTATAACATGAAGCATAGTAGTTATCTCCGATCGTATAAAATAAAAAAATATCAAATATCAAAACGAACAAATGAAACATCATGAACATGACAACCAAAAGAAATCCCATCCACTTTTAGGGAGCTACCATTTGATTTTTATGGGGGGCTAGGATGAAAAATTTAGTGACTAAATTTTGTCCTGCATTTTTTTATTAGTTGTAATCTCTGTCCTGCCTTTTTATCTTTCACTCTATTCAGTCCTGTCTTTTTTTATTAGTGTTTCCTGACTTTTTTTACATAAATTGTCATCCTGCCTTTTTTTTTTGGCAAAGTGTCTCATCCTGCCTTTTTTTTTACTCAAAACTCCTGTCCTGTCTACTTTCCCCATAAAAATCAAATGGTAGCTCCCTTACTACAACATGCATGGCATGTATGGGCACATCTTAGAATCAGTAAAACATGCAAAATATTTAGGTATCACAATCTTTTCAGATCTAAAATGGAACACCCACATCAAACAAACAGCCGCTTAAAAGCAAATAAATATTTATGTTTTATCAGAAGAAATCTTAAAGTCCAGTGACATACAATTAAAGAAAGAGCATACCAAACTCTCATAAGACCCAAATTGGATACTGCTGTACTGTATGGGACCCATATTCAAAGGAAAACATACGATCTTTATAAAAAGTACAGAGACGAGCGACAAGGTATGCATGTAACAGACATCACAAGACCAGTAGTGTGTCTGAGATGCTAGACACCATGAAATGGTAAACATTACAAGAACGCTGACTAAGAACAAGGCTAATAATGTTCCACAAAATTATACATGAAAAGATTGCCATTCCATCGCAAAATTTATTACAGCAGAGTCAGTCCAATACAAGATCCACCAATAAAGATGCTTACCGACAAATCCAATATAACAAAGACAGCTACAAATTTTCCTCAGACATAACAAAAAACACCACTACAGAAACCTTCAATGGTGCACTCACTTACGATGTGCTCCTTGAAACCTATCCACACCTGAGTAATCAGACAATCATGTTTTTATCTTAAATTAAAAATAAAATAAAAAATGAAATACAAGAAAAAATATTAGAGAAATTTACATGAAAGTGCATGAATTCAAAAGTCGTCTATTAAATATTAATATCCTGTTTATAAAGTATTGATACTTTGACGTACTGTTGTACGTTTGTTTTTTTCTACATTGGCTAGAGGTATAGGGGGAGGGTTGAGATCTCAAAAAACATGTTTAACCCCGCCGCATTTTTGCGCCTGTCCCAAGTGAGGAGCCTCTGGCCTTTGTTAGTCTTGTATCATTTTTAATTTCAGTTTCTTGTGTATAATTTGGAGTTTAGTATGACGTCCATTATCACTGAACTAGTATACATATTTGTTTAGGGGCCAGCTGAAGGACGCCTCTGGGTGCAGGAGTTTCTCGCTGCATTGAAGACCCATTGGTGGCCTTCGGCTGTTGTCTGCTCTATGGTCGGGTTGTTGTCTCTTTGACACATTCCCCATTTCCATTCTCAATTTTATAATAATGATTATTTTGTTTTTGAATTTTATGTAGTTTATATACTATTTAATTACTATATTTAGCCTTTTACCAATTGTTATAATTGTGTTTGTACTAATAAAATAGTGTCTATAGTATTGAATAATAGACCATCAAAGTGATATGATTGGGGATATTTAAAAAAAAACATATAAGGTCACTTAAAACATAATTTTTTAGGCAGTTAAGCACCCTAGATTTGTGTTCTTCCCAACGAAAGCGGAAAAAAGTGCCATTGTTATAATCTAGCAGGCTAATATGTTATTTATAACTGATTGGACATTTTTTTCATACTTTTATTTCTGGAATACAAAAAATATGACCAGAATAACCTTAAATGATCGTCGAACGACCCATAATATTTGAAGTTCCACATAGGAAATAGTGCTCAATAGAAATCCGTACGTAGTTTATTATCCCCTGTGTTTTTGGCTAAGATGTCAAAGAACAATTGTATGAAATATTTCATCGCTGAAAATCTGGAATTACAAGTCGTTTATATTTCCCAAATGGCAAAATGAATATTGTTCATGTACACCAAATCTCTATGATAGAGGAAATAAAGTTATATATAGTAGTCTTAAGTTGGCGGTAATCTGGTAATTTTAACTTACACTTGTTGTTATTTTATGAATGAAAAAGATTCATAAATCGACGTAATCAACGTCGACCAATCAGGTCGATGTTTTAAGAAATGCGGAACAACTCGTCCCAGAGACAAGTAGGGCCGAGTCTACTGACGGACCATCTAAGAAGACAACTCGGACCGCTTGTCAGATTAACTTAGGGTTTCACAAAATGTAAGACTAACATGTCAAGCGGAGCCATCAATCTTTCATTTGTGCATTGGGGACTATTTAGGGGTATTTTGAGAGGCCTAAAGAAGAGAGGGGTTTACTGTAAAACCCTATGGGATTTTATTTTTTTTAAATTTTCAAATGACTATTACTTGAAAACAGCAAGTGATAGACACACACGGTCTTCAGTAATGAGAACAGGACAATAAAACAAATCAAATAGAATATAGGGTGAGTCCCTTGGTGTCATCCCACCCCCCTTTCAATTTGAAAATGTGCTTTTATCTTGTAAACGGTCGTGATCCCCATCCCTAAACCATATATATACTTGTATGGGACAATAAAACAAATCAAATGAAAATAATTTGGGGGAGTCCCCAGTGTCACCTCACCCCTTCTGTTTGAGAACTTGTAAACGATCGAGTTCCCCACCCCTAAACCATATATATTCATGTATCAGAGACAATATAACAAATCAAATGAAATATAAGGGGAGTCCCTGGGGTCACCCCATCCCCTCCTGTTTAAGAACTTGGAAACGGTCGAGATCCCCACCCCTAAACCATATATATTCATGTATGGGACAATATAACAAATTAAATGAAATATAGGGGAGTCTCTGGGATCACCCCACCCCCTCCTGTTAGAGAACTTGTAAACAGTCAAGATCCCCACCCCTAAATCATACATATTCATGTATGGGACAATATAACAAATCAAATGAAATATATGGGGAGTCCCTAGGGTCACCCCCACCCCCTCCTGATTGAAAACTTGGAGCGTACATTTCAAATATCAAATTGACGTCCCCAAAAAATGAGTTGGGTGGGGTCATTGAGTGCAAAAAATAAAATTTTCTTTTAAGGTAAGGTTGTTGTATATCAAATGAAAGGTCGTAATGTGTAAATAAACACAAATGTACAATATACGAATGTTTAATGTTTGTTCTTTCAAATCTTAAAAAAGAATTTGAAGAAACAGTGCCACTGTGAGTTTTCATAATTACGTTTGCCTTGGTTTTTGGTTAACTGCCGAAGCGCTTACAGTGCTTTGATTTAATAAAAGTAACACTTTTGCATATATTAAAGTCCATTAATTGAGGTTCACAATGATATTTTCCCCTTTCCAAGGGAGTGGGGTTGGTGACAAGCATTATACACCCTCTGGGGGCCACTTCCTTTATACAAGGTAATAGGACATTCCGCTCGAATAGGTCATCTTTTCAAGCTTGAAAATATGTGAATAGGTCGATGAGACTATCAGAAATATATGGTGAGGTCAATAAAGTTCCCATAACTTCTTCATCTGTCATCTTTCTTGGTGTTCCTGGCTGTGTTTTTATCAACCAATTTTCTCTCTTTTGATAATATGGTACATGTATTCCATTTTTACATTACACACAACAAGAAAACCCATACAATATGGGAAAAGGTAACTTTTTTACCTAAGGAATATATGAAAAGGTATACATTTTTAAAATCTGAATTATATTAAAATATGGTGGTGTAACAGAATCCCAGCGGCACCCCCTATCATTTAAGTATTGAAGTCCCCCCTAACCTGATTATACACCCAATCTAAATATTTGCCTCTGTCTAGAAGATGAAATAATAGCATGATATGTTGAACTGAAATTTCTTGTATTCTAATCAGATCATATATCATTTTGAATGAGGTCAGTTGTATATATTAGTTAATTATTATTTTTTCTTTAGATTTGCTAATTTTAGAACGCAGCATGACAGTAGACCAGGTCAGACTGCAGCAGCAGGTGCATACAGAAGGAGGACTAACCCAGTCTACTCATTCAAAATTGCATGTTTGGACGGCCCTGAATTCACCAATGTCAGTCCCATGATGATTAGACGCTTGAATAAGTGTGGTTTAGGTATACATTATTAACTCACTGTTTGGAAAGAAATTACATAAATTCCAATACAAGTAACATAATTTTACATAGTGTATGATAATGATCTTTCAAAATAATTGTAATTTTAATCTGAAATACAAGGATTTGACAAAACTGGTATAAACAATTTTAATAGCTGATTTAGTGTTATTTCCAATAGGTTGAAATTTTTACCACAACATGTGATCCTGTATTGCTTGTTGCCATTTGTGTTTGACATTGCCTTAGCTAGGAAAACAGTGATGCACAGATTTATATTGTTATTTGCAAAAAGAAGGTCAAGAGTTTAAAGTAATAATGTTATATGATTTTAGGTTTGAAGAATTTTACAATAAATATATAATTAAGAATTTCCATGAAAAAAAAACATTGGTAAAAATTAATTTCTCATTTACAGGATCCAGGAAGATAGTAATATCCCGGAGTGACTCTGTAATAAACTTTAAGAAGAGAGTCATAGAACTCTTTCCAAAATTGGAAAGGGTTGATTTTGAGTTCTTCCAGGCAAAGTTGAGGGAGAAACACAGACTTGAACAAGTGGTGTTTAATTCCTTAAAGGATCTTAAGGCCAAAGTGAAATTCACCCTCTATATTAAACCTGCACAACAGCTAATCAATGTGAGTACAGTTAACTTGATGTACCTTTTATCTCCTCTAAAGAGCAGGTTTAGATATTGTCTGATAAAAATAAGATTGTGGAATTATTTATTGCCTGTGAGACAACAATACACCAGAAACCAAATGATGTACATTGTAGGCAACTATATATATATAAAGGTTACAGTAAAATCTTCAACAATGAGAAAAACACATTCTATTAAATGGGTACTTTTTTACAACTTATATGTGATTGTTTACTTGACTAATTTATTCAACAAAATTATTTTGTTCAGTCCTGACCAGGGGTGCGAACTTCAACCTTTCATTTTGTAATCAGCATTCCAATTCAGAAAATGACTTATTGGGTTTGAATTAATGTAAAAATTAGGGATGTTGACGAGTACTAGAGTATTGCTCTATAGTACCAAGTATCGAATACCAAAATGATACTTGACTAATATAATCAGTTTCTATTAGAATGTTGTTGCCTTCTTAAATGAAAAATATTTTTATTGAGAGCGCTCGTCCCAGGAAATTAAATATCAAATTTAAATATGTTTCTATTGTTTGCGTTTAATTTTCATTTAAAATTCCCTTGCACAGAGGTAGGCTATGAACCACAAGGATATTTCCAAGTCATACACTTTTAGCTTACCGTGTTTTAGTCATTCGTCTATCTCTGTACCGTCAGAGCAAATCATTTCATCAGCAGGACTGTAAGCTATGTTACAAAGTTTATTTTGAAATCTATTGTGTCTAAAGGCATATTTTTTTTGTATACCGTAGATTACTGAAGGTGAATCGGATGAAGAAGAGCTTCCACCATTGTTCCCTCCCAGAAGAGAAAGACAATCTGATGATGCTAATTTGACAGCACAAGCGGTAATTTTTAGATCACAGCCTAACAATATGCTATTCCCCAGTTACTAAAAGCAATGTGTTATCCCAAATAACATCTAGAATCATGAAAGCATGTAAATTGAAGCATGATCTGTTAATGTCTTTACTGAATTTTCAACACCTGTAAGTTAAATGTGAAAAACATTAGTGCATAGATAATTATGGAATTCAATTTAGAAAAGTGCAGAATTATTTACTTTAATGAATGCTGTTTAAGTACAAGAGATCATACATGAAATTTTGTGCTTTCATGTTTGAATATTTTTGAAGTAAAGACGGAATAATGTGTCAATGTGTCCGTTTATTTACATCCTGCTCAAGTTTGAACATGTTATATTCGTATCAAGGTGAGCCATGCAAAATAATTTATTTACATGTTCCATCCTCATTATATATATGCACCTCAACATTATGGACAGTATGGATGAAGACTAAATTGGAGCATAACTTTAACAGTATTTAGTTCAGTTAAATTTTCATAATAAATTAGCAATCTTATTTATGTATAATGATTTTTTATTTTAACTAATACTGAGGATTCATTTATTTTCGTGGGTACTTATTTTCTTGGATTGAGACAAACTTGCATTTTCGTGTTAATTTGATATCGTGGTTTTGCCAATGTCTGCATAAAGGAAAACCTTATACAAAATTTGTAATTCGTTGAATGTTTGAATTCGTGGTATATCTGTACACACGAAACCCACGAAAATTGGTACCTTACGAAAAATAATGAATCCACAGTATAATGAGATCAACTTTAAAACTGAAATTGGTAATAAGCATTTATGTTTGATAACTAAAGAATTGGTTCAATAGTTTATAGTTATGAACACAGCAATCTTTTTAAATTGACAACACCCATTTGAAGTCAGCTATAACCATGCACATGCCCTCATCACCTCTATTTCCCCTTGTATAAAAGGGTTTAAATAAAAATATTAACATGAATGGGTAACTTAAAATATAAAACTATGTTCAGTACTTTCTGTTGCATAAGAAACTAATATAAATAAATGTTTCATGGGTCTTTTATACAACTTTATCAATTTTAAGTTTAAAATTAAGTCTACTTCAGATTCTTGATTTTATACAGCCACCTTAAAAATAAAATTGCATGTTTCAGATACACTTCAGTTGAAAGCATGAAAGCATGTAAGTAAATAGAAAACTAACAAAATAGTATGCAATTTACAACAGATTATATTTCCTAATGCCAAAGAAACAGAGTATATTACAGTCATATTGGAAACTTGTAAAGTGCATGATACTGAAAAGTAGTAGTCTCCATAGTTAATCTTTAAACTTTAGTGACAGGTTTGCAATTCAAAACAAATACTTTTTAAAATGAATTTCAGTTCAAACATGATTTTATTAACCCAGCCATATTGGAATCATATGTTCTCTCAGGATTTTAAGACAGTGCAAAAAAAAATGAATTAATGAATTCTGTCTTCTTTTATTCTGCAGTCAACATCTGACACACCAGATTCGCCAAGAAGTCGCCAGAGAAATAGTACACTGTCTCAACCAGGTACCAGTGGAGCAAGTGTAAGTGAAAACTAGAACTGCTGTGTAAAATTGATAACTTCAACTTATTTTTTGGAGGTAATGACACCCTGTTGTTTAAAAATATAGTTTTACTTATAGTGTCAGTACCAATAAGTTTTATGGAAAGATTTGATTAAGGAATTTGGTTCATAATGTTTTTGCGAGAATTTTGTCTTCCACACATCATCATGGGCTACTTGAATACTTTGAAGGTATATTATAAGTCCATGAAACTTATGTTTAATAAAAAAAAGTAGGGAATTTCATTAACCATATGTGTATTTATCACATGTTTTATTTTTGTAGACAACCGTTACATCTGAGAGGTCAAATTCCTCATCCACTCAAATAACCAGTACATTGTCCTCACCTGGTAGAAATAGAGCAACTGTAAGTTACTTGGAATGCTCTTTATAATTATAACTTGAAACTAGTTTCTGGTATGATAATCTGTTCACGCATAAAGGCAACACAACACCATTTTCATTTGTTGTTCTGCAGATGTTTTGAAGATAACAATTAGTGCAAGCAGATGCAACTTTCTATAGTAGTTTGCTGCTGGAAATCACACTTTTAATATAAAGCAAACTCCAAATCAAAATTTAAAAATGTTAGAAATAAAACTTTCTTTTTCAGAATTATTCAACAAAATTACTTTGGACTAAATTATCATTTTACAAAACCCATTTTAAGGGGAGACAAATTAAATAAAGTGTTAGCATGTTCTAACTTACTTATTAAATCAGGGGATGTGGTATGAATGCCAATCAGATAACTATCATAAAGACTTAATAAGAAAGTAGATTTGTAGCCAGCAGCATGCTTTACAATTCCGTGAAATTAAATGTCTACTAAGTATTGATTCAAATTATTGTCAATAATAGTTCATGTTCCAATCAGTTTATTGTACTGCAAAAAAAAAAATTGTGTTTTCTCTTTGAAAACAATGAAGAGATATTTAGCTTTTGCATTGTAGGTAGCCCTGGAAGGCTCCAACACACCATCATCAAGAAGAGGCAGAGTCATAGCATCTCCTGTTGCAAGAAGATCTAATGTGAGTTTTTAAAGTACACATATTGACTATTCTCAACTCGTACAAGAAATTTGTCTGAGATGTAAAGACAACTAACACAAGAAATATTCTATTTTGAATCAAAAATACTTCAACATCATTATGCAAGTAACATTCATTGATTTATTGACTAAGTCTTTGGTTGAAGTCTTTTAAATTGACTCATCCTGCTTGAAATCCTACTTTTACCCCTACTTGGTGAGCAGGGGACAACAGTTCTAGTTATATAGATGTTATTATTGACAGTTCATAACATATATGTACACAATCTAATGGAAGAGATTGATAATTATAAATAAAAAAATTACATTCACCTGTAATTTACCTGTACATAATCAGTGCAAATAAAAGACAAAATCGGCGCAAGTGAAAGAAAAAATGGCGCAAGTGAAATGCTAATCGGCGCATATGAAAAACGCCGACTTAGTGTCACAATACTAAGAACAAAGTATAAAAATCAATTGAAATTAGAATAACTCTCATCAGATTGGTACTAAGAACCAAAAAATATAATGAAAGACAAAAGATATTAAGTATTGGTCTTTGAGTTCTCACAGTTGCTGAAGGCTGGTTAAACTCCAATTTCAATTACTAAATGAACTCTTTCATAATGGTATCTCTCAACCTCAATTCTTTTTGAAAACTTTGATTCCTTTAGTTTGCATAATTCTACCACAAAGTATATATTGTCAGTTGTCATTAAAAATTAATGAAAATTTCTGTTGTTTCATTTGTGAACCTTTTAGCAAATGCTTTTCATTTGAAGTCTATTATAAATTAGGTTATTCTTTTGTAGGCCACACCACGCAGAACTGGTTTATCATCTAACTCTGGTAGGCAAAGAAGAAGAACTGCTATAGCTGCTGATGATTTTATTCATGCAGTGGTATGTCGTAGTAAATTCTCACACCTCTTCAGTTTTGTATATGTCATTGCTCAAAACCAACAGTATGAAACCTTGTGCTGTATAAATACTTTTTGCCATATATATATATATGAAATAAGAAGATGTGGTATGATTGCCAATGAGACACCTCTCCACAAGAGACACAAAAATTAACAACTTTAGCTCACCGTACAGCAATGAGCAATGAGCAAAGCCCCTACCGCATAGACAGCTATAAAAGGCTCATGAATGACAAATGGAAAATATAACATTTCAAACAAGAAATATAAAAGACTAATGAATGACAAATGTAAAATATAACATTTCAAACAAGAAAAACTAAAAACAAACATGATATACTGCAATAAACGACAACCACCTAATGACAGACTCCTGAGTTGACATTAAAAGGTTTCATACCTTGTGGAATGAAAGTCAAATATAAACAAATGGTCAATGTCCCATGGAAATAGTGGTCCAAATGATGATTTTATATGGTCAACTACATTTGATGGCAATCAATGCTTGCAAGAATGTAAGCTTTCTGTCAAAAGGTTTTAGAGGAGTTTCAATCACCAAGTGTCATTGTTGTAATCTAGTTAAAAAAAGGTCCAATTACTCCTGTAAAAATGTTATATCAAAATGGTAAAAAAAACACAAGATGACAAAACAGTCTACAGATTATAGGAAACAATGATTTACCAAAATTAAGAGGCATCAATGTGGTCAACACAGGAAGAATTAACACTAGTCAAGATTAAATATTGCAGGTGTTGATTAATATCTTGATATTACCAACAAATCTTACAGGAAAGTATATTTATGTTTACAGTACAACTAACTATGGTCATATTGGAATTTTAATGCATAATAATTGATGATGAAATTGGTTACTTATTCAATGTCTTCTGAACCAAAATGAATACAAAAAACAATATATATCAGTTTATTTACTATTTTGTACATAAAATACAGACGAATCAAATAATCTGGATCATAATGCATGAGGTTTTGTGTTGGTAAAAGTTCTTTCATGGTTAAATTGTCATTCATGGAGATTCCTGGACAAAATTCTTAAAAAAACAGTATAAGGAAGATTTTAAATGATTTGTGATTCAGTCTGTTTTTTGGATTACCAATAGTTCATCATTTTAAATCTAATTCATTAACTTTATTGCAGGTAGCTCCTGAAGCTTCCATTTCACCATCAACAAGAAGAAACAGAGCCCTATCATCTCCCAGGGTGGTTGCAAGTAGATCAAATGTGAGTAAAAAACTTCATGTCAAATTTGGCTAGCTAAAATACTACTTTTGTTTAAATATACTTTACCAAGTATCATTAAATATACAATAGAAACATCCACAAATGAAAATTTTAAAATTACAAATGTAAAACTGTAAAATATTAAAGTCATATGAAATCATTTACGTGAAATTTTAATGTTATAGAAATCATTGAATCATTGAAGTCCTGTATGCACATTTTTATATGACCGCAAAAAAAATTTTGTGGTCGTATATTGGTATGACGTTGGCGTCGTCGTCGTCGTCGTCGTCCGAAGACACATTGGTTTTCGCACTCTAACTTAAGTTTAAGTGAATGGATCTCTATGAAATTTTACCACAAGGTTCAATACCACAAAAGGAAGGTTGGGATTGATTTTGGGGGTTATGGTACCAACAGTAAAGGAATTAAGGACCAAAAAGGGGCCAAAAATAAGCATTTTTGTAACTTCCAGACATAACTTGTGTGTTAGTGTATGGATCTCTCTGACATTGTACCACAAGGTTCCATATCACAAAAGGAATGCTGGGATTGATTTTGGGGGTAATTGCCTTAAAATTTTAGGAATTAGGGGCCAAAAAAGGGGCAAAAAACAAGCATTTTTCTAGTTTCATGACATTAACTTGTGTGTAAGTGTATGGATCTTTCTGAAATTGTACTACAACGTTCCATATCACAAAGGGAAAGCTGGAATTGAGTTTGGGGGTAATTGCCGAAACGTTTAGGAATTGGGGGCCAAAAAGGGGCCAAAAATAAGCATTTTTCTAGTTTCCAGACAATAACTTGTGTTCAAGTGTATGAATCTCTCTGAAATTGTACTGCAAGGTACCATACCACAAAGGGAAGGCTGGGATTGATGATGGGGGTAATTGCCTCAATATTTTAGGAATTAGGGGCCAAAAAGGGCCAAAAAACAAGCATTTTTCTAGTTTCCAGACAATAACTTGTGTTCAAGTGTATGGATCTCTCTGAAATTGTACTGCAAGGTACCATACCACAAAGGGAAGGCTGGGATTGAGTTTGGGGGTGATGAATCGTAAGGGGGTTCAAAAAGTTTGGGGGGGGTGGGGGTTTCCTTTTTTTTTTCTTTTAAAATTTTCCATTTTAAGTTGGTTATTTCTGATTTATATTTAAAAGCAAATAATAATGATATGGTAGGAGATACACACCAAACAGGATGTGTAAATTATTATATAATAAGTATTGTGCAATAGCAAGAAATTTTCAATTGCACAGTATTGCACAATAGCAAGAAATCTTAAATTGCACAGTATTGCGCAATAGCAAGAAATATCCAATAGCACAATATTGCACAATAGCAAGAAATTGTCAATTGTACAGTATTGCGCAATAGCAAGAAATATTTAATTGCACAGTATTGTGCAAAAGAAGATACTTCATATAAATTGCTTATTTCTTGACCAATTTCAATGGGGTTTTATTCTTGAATTCTTGGGGTTCTTTAATATGCTGAATCTAACCGTGTATTTAGTTTTTGGATTTTGGGCTCCGTTTTTAAATTGGTCCACATTGAGTTCCAAAGGGTCCAAAATTAAACTTTGTTTGATTTCATCAAAAATTGAATTATTGGGGTTCTTTGATATGCCGAATCTAACCGTGTATTTAGATTCTTAATTTTTGGTTCTGTTTTCAAATTGGTCTACATTAAGGTCCAAAGGGTCCAAAATTAAACTTAGTTTGATTTTAACAAAAATTGAATTCTTAGGGTTCTTTGATATGCTGAATCTAAACATGTATTTAGATTTTTGATTATGGGCCCAGTTTTCAAGTTGGTCCAAATCGGGGTCCAAAATTAAACTTTGTTTGATTTCAACAAAAATTGAATATATGGGGTTCTTTGATATGCTGAATCTAACCATGTATTTAGATTTTTGATATTGGACCATAATAGGTGAATGTCCAATTTAAAATTTTTAAGTTCTTAGACCACATTCATTCTGTGTCAGAAACCTATGCTGTGTCAAATATTTAATCACAATCCAAATGGAAAGCTATAACATATTATCAACAAATAATACTTCATTCAGTGACTGTTGATCGCAAGCTTAAAAACTTTCTAGTTTGTTGGCAAAGTTAACATGATCATGATATTTATAAACAACCAATGTAGAGCATGTAGGGCATGTGACGTATAAGTGAATTTAATTTTTTCTTTATATATTTTCCATCTATTTTCGTTTGTTCATAAAAGTTTTCCTTAACAGTCGTTAAATGATGTGTTGTATTAAATTTATTCTTTAAGAAAAAGATATGACTATTTTCCTGCATTCTTGTTAACATTCTTTCACCGTTTTCCCTACTCACTTGCCCTGTGTCATGATTATTTTATAGAGAAACTTTAAAATATATACAGAACTTCTATATTTTTTGCTTTGCTCTTTTTCAGGTAAGTGAAACTACAACTCAAGCCTATCATACTGCTGGTACTCCAACAGTCCTATTCCGATCAACTGCAGTTCCAACATCCACAGAACAAACGGCAACTGAACAATATGAACAACTGTCTACACCAGTCAACCCTCTGTCATTAATGGATGTTACAAGGTATTGATATTGAAATGAAGAGATAATGAATTAATGTATGTGAGACATTGATCCTACAAACATGAATTCAGTTATTACACATTTGAAAAGTAGTATGTCCCATATCAGGGTCTTTCAATTCAGTGGTTGCTGTTTGTTGCTGTACATCGTATTTGTAACTTGTTCATTAATGTTTTTTAGATAAATCAGGCCATTAGTTTGATTTTTTTTTACATTTTTTGTTTCAAGACCTTTTACAGCTGACTATGTAGTATGGGTTTTGTTGTTTGCATTGTTGAAGACCGTATGATGACCTATAATTGTTAAGTTCTATGTTAATTAGTCTCTGGTGGAGAGTTGTCTCATTGGCAATTATACATTTTTGTATCACATCTTATTTTATATCAAGAAAAAAATGAGATCAAGTATTACACGGGAATTTATATATAAGTTAGAATATGTTTGCATCTTGCACATAAATAGTTTATGCATTTATTTTGTGTGTTTCAGGGATTTGGCTGTAGATGTAAACAATATCAATGCAATTTTTGAAGACATCCCAGAGGTTGGACTATTTGGAGACATTGGGTAAAATTGATATTTGACAGAACCAAATAATTATAATAGCATTAAGATGAAGGTCAATCTTTGTTTTTGTCCTTGAAACTTCCCTCTGTTCACTTTCTTTTGTGTTCATGCTCTGACTTTTGATCAAGATATCCTGTTTTTAGGAAGATTACATATCATGTTTGGAAGGATTTTGATGGACCTGGTACTTGCCTCATCAATTTCTGATATAATAATACCAAAAGAACAAATTTGCCTGATTTTCAGGAAAACATGTAGACATACTAAAACAGATAAAGTTACATTGTGTTGGTTATTCTACCATTATCATTTAACCTGAAAAAGGCAAAAACATTTGTTTAAAGTTAATTTGCAATTGCATTTTGAATGCTCTTTTCCAAATTGAATTCTCCAAACTTAAGTGTGAATGTTTAAAATTCCAGGTGAAAAATATTTTTAAGGTTTTTGTTTTGCCTGCGACGAAATTGGCAGTATTAGAGACCTATGGATAACTGTCTTGGGGCAGTGCTGTAAACTATTTGTATAAAGTCTTATATTTCTGAAGGACAATGACCTGGATGCTTTATACCTTGTATGCAGATACCTTATGTTACGAAGTTATGTTACACCTTTTGGTAACAGCACATTTTGGATTGTAGGTTAAGGCAAAGCTTGTAAATATGATACTAGTACTACACAAAATTGTACAAACTAATCTTCAAAAACTATTGTTTTATGTTTGTACATGTATTGTTGCTTAAGAGGAAAGTGCTTTCATTGGAAAGAAATTTTTGAAAGATATGAAAGTGATATTCAAAAGACAGTTTGCTGTAAAATGACATCTGAAAGTGATTTTTTTTATTATTTTTAGGCAAAATGAGTGTACAGAAAATTTCAGAAAAAAAATTAAAGAACATAAGGAATTGTTTATCCACAATGACTCGGATGACCCATTACTGATGGAGGTGAGAAGGGAAAATCCTGTGCAGGATTCCTTGGCCTTCATCAGTATCAGCCAAGATGATCTTCACAGCCCACTAAGGATATCTTTCACTGATGAGGACGGTGTTGATCTTGGGGGATTGAGACGGGAATTTTGGAGTCTCTTTCTCCACAAGATAAGTAGTTCTGTATTTGTTACAGGTATGCCAAAATTAATATTGATTGAATAAACATTAGTTTTTTAAATGATAAATTCACAAAGAGGTTAATTACTTTTACAGTTAAGATATTTTGCCATCTTTCATTTGAACATTTTAAGTTTTCTGTGCTAAACTTTGGTTGCATATATGCAATCTAAATTGTTTAAACCTAGATTGGGATTGAATTGAAAATTTGAATCACAAATATTCTTAAATAGGGACCAAAGAGGGCCTGTGTGCAAATTTTTACAGAATTTCAAAGGAAAATACACAAATATATCAAATTATAAAATTTTGTTGTATGAAAATTTTTAAAATATCTTTTATTTTGACCTGCATTTTAATCTGGTTATATTTGGTCTGATGTGCGCTTGGATTGACAGTTTTGAAACATTTGGCATATAGCAAAATTACTATTATTCAGGTCTATTATATTATCAATATTATAAGATAATGTCCTTTTTAACGATTTTAATGATCAAAGACATTGGATGAATCAATGCAAAATTCCTGTACAGCATTGTTTGTATTACTGAAACAGCTTCTGTTAACTTTAATGATTTAGAATCCCATTGAACTTCTCATATAATTACATACACCACAATTACAACTGCTTAATATTGCCCTTAAGAGATTCAGTGATTGTATTAAGAGCAGTATAATGTTTCAACCATATTGTTAGTATGATTTTGGTACTTTGTACAATTTCAGGAAAACCAGGACGCCAAACCTTGCGTGACAACTTTATTGCAAGGACCCAGAATATTTTTTTCCATCTGGGACAGCTGGTCGCCTTATCCATCATTCAAGATGGGCCAGGTCTTCCCATCTTTAGTGATATAGTTACAGACTATATCTTGCTTGGGAAACCCTGTATTTTAAATGTAGATGATTTGCCAGAGGGTTTAAAGAATACCATTGTCATGGTAAGTTTTCTATTCATATTTTCGTAAAATGAAGATGGGGTGTGAATATTGTATAAATAAGCTTGAACAAAAAATCTGAATGTAATAAAGGAAAAGAAAAAAAAATTTCAGCATCATATTTTTTTAAAATTTATTAAATCTCAATTCATAATCTCATGTTCCATAACCTTTATGGAATACCAGTAACTGTTGCAATAAATTGTTATTTGATTTTCATATAATACTCTTTTTTTTGTTCCATCATTTTTGTAAATTAAACTTAACCCTTCATTGGACAGGTTATTTAGCCAGTCCCATTAAAAAAATACAAAGTATCAACTTAAATAGATGTCTGATTGTTGATGAAAGTGGCCGGGTTTGGGGGGGGGGGGGGGGGGGGGGGGTGTTAAAATAATTCCAATAAAAACAGATAACTCTACTGCAAAAAAAGGATTAAGATGAACTTTCAACTAAAAATTAGAGATTGCACAACATGAACACAACAAAAAGCTGGTAAGATTGAAGTCTCCTTTTCAAAGACTGCATACATTAATTTGCTCTTTCATGTACAAGTTCTTATTATACCCCACGCAACGAGTTGCGGAGGGTATAATGTTTTTGACCCGTCCGTCCGTCTGTCCGTCAGTCTGTCCGTCAGTCCGTCAGTCCTGTTTCTTGTCATCGCAACTCCTCTCAAACCACACAACAAAATTTCATGAAACCTTTTCAGATAATAAGGACATACTACGTAGATGTGCATATTGACAGGAAATTACGATTCATTTTTTTTCCAGGAGTTACGCCCCTTTGAACTTATTTGCCCAATATACTACTGCAACCTTTTGTCATCGCAACTCCTCTCAAACCACACAACAGAATTTCAAGAAACCTTTTCAGATAATAAGGACATACTATGTAGATGTGCATATCGACAGGAAATTACGATTCAATTTTTTTTCCAGGAGTTACGCCCCTTTGAACTTATTTGCTTCAATATACTACTGCAACGGTTTGTCATCGCAACTCCTCTGAAACCACTAAACAGAATTTCATGAAACCTTTTTAGATAATAAGGACATACTATGTAGATGTGCATATCGACAGGAAATTATGATTCAATTTTTTTTTCTAGGAGTTACGCCTCTTTGAACTTATTTGCTTCAATATACTTCTGCAAGAGTTTGTCATCGCAACTCCTCTTAAACCACACAACAGAATTTCATGAAACTTTGTAGATAATAAGGACATACTATGTAGATGTGCATATCGACAGGAAATTATGATTCAATTTTTTTTTCTTATACAATTTTTCTTTAATTTTAATTTTGTATCTCCTTACTGCAACTATAATTTCTATTAACATTTCTTTCAGATGCAAGATTGCACTTCAGAACCGGACCTACAGAATATGTACTCTGGTATATTTGATGAAGCTGTCGATGCTGGATTTATAATTCCACCTTCATCATTTAAAAAAAAACATGTAAACATCCTTCTGGCTGCGTTATTGGAGACCCAACTTAACAAGTGCAAGAAAGAACTTGATCAGTTTATCAAAGGTATTTAACATTGGTTTATGACATATCTAAAGTATGCAGCTTATAATTTGGTATGACACTTGTTCTAAGCTTATTGGTTCATATTCCTATATTGCAGGCATTCTTAACTGAACTAGGTTTTCACTGAGCTAGTACACATTTTTTGCTTAAGCCGAAGCCTGCCTCCGAGTGTGGGATTTTCTCGCTGTATTGACGACCCTTTGGTGACCTTTGGCTGTAATCTGCTCTTTGGTCGGGTTGTTGTCTCTTTAACACATTTCCATTCTCAATTTTATTCTTAATATCTGGATAATGTTTTTATTATAGAAATATGTCTTGATTTGATTTAGGGCTTAGTATAATATCAGTGATAGTGCTTTTAGTTCCTGAACATTTTTAGAAAATCTTTTGTTGAACAACTGGTAGAGAAGTTTTTCCAATAAAAATAAGTTTCAATATGACCATAATATTTTGTATATTGAGATCTGATCTGTCTTTCTTGATATGAAAGAAATGATTTTAGGGCGCAACCCAGTTGAGCAATTAAGGTTAAATTGAGACAGTGCTCAACTATTTTTAAAAGTAGCATAATTTGGGTCTTTGTCAAATTTTCATGTTCACGATGGTATTAATTTTTAAAGGCAGTGCTTTAATGCCTTTCTAGTTGCCGTGTTAATCTTTCTTTCCACGATATCCAACTTATCTACGTGGGGGGTCATTAGGCTCCAAGTAGATCCGGAAAATGTTGATTCTCTCCTCTTCTTATTGTGATATAAAATGTTTTTTGTTTCATTTCATTTACATTGGGAAATAGAGAAACGATCATTGTGTTTTGTTAGTTTTAAAAACTTTTGATATATTTGTATTTTACATTATAAGCAGTCAACCGATTGACAAACTAGAATTATTTGAATTCCGTGTGGAAAGAGGTCGGGTTAATTTCGAGTGTTATCTGCAATCTAGATGTTTATAAATCATTTCAGTCGTTGATATAATAATTAAAGGTCGACTGAACATGAATTATATTATACAATTTAAAGCGCATTTCTGTTTATGCACGCGAACCGGTCTAACGTAATTGTTATTTCGCGGTTATATAAAGTAGCAAATTATCGTTCCTGAATAGGTGGCGCCGTGGTAGCCGATCCTGTTCTTCAACTTCCGGTTTCTGCACTGTGCAACTATTACAGTTGCATTTTTAATTAACGATGCCAAGTACATGTTGTTGTGTACATGGATGTCATTTAAGAGGAGGACATGCATTTCCAAATGACTTAAAAAGAAGGAAAAGTTGGATCAACGCCATGGCCCATACGCAGATTGGACGAGAACACGATGAAATCGTGGAGTCCATCTCAATCAGCTGTTGTTTGCAAGGCACATTTTACTGAAAAAGACTACGTGCAGGAAACTATTCATGGTAAAACTCTATTTTCTTTTTAAAATATATAGTTATATATGTAATCGCCATGCGAATAAACCAAAGTTTGTTTACAACCGCAATTATCGTTTTAGAATAAAAGGGGGTGGTTAATTCGAATCCGGGTCCGTTCGCCCTGATTCCGGTTCGCCCTAGTACCTGTTCGCCCTAATACCTGTTCGCCCTGAGTCTGTTCGCCCTAATACCTGTTCGCCCTGATTATTATTTTATTATATATATGTTGCATTGTGTGTATATATTTGAATATGTTAAGTGTGTCTACAATTTCGTCAAATATTTATTTATGATGTATTATGTTGTCTAGCTGCTACCAGGAAATAAGTTTCTATGAATTCCAGGACTACAAGGTATTTAAATAAAACAACTGAAGACTAAGTTATCTGTATGTATTTGAATATGTTGAAGTCTGTTTACAATCCACCAAAGACAATTCATACAACAATCAGTGATATCAAAGACATCAAATTATACCTAATCAGCAATCAAAATTCAATCAACAGTAATTAAAAGTAATTATAAATTTAAAAAAAAGTGCAGCCAAGAATTTAATTAATATAAATTTTTCAAATATTCTGTATTTAACTTTTGATAGATAAACATAAATTGGGATAAATGTATATAAATTTTAATAAATGTTTATTTTCGTTCATAAATGTAACATATACATATTCTCAAGGATATTTTCTTTACCAAACTTTCTGAAAGGTTTTGTCTCACTATACAAATCCTTGATATTCTAAATAAAAATAGGGCGAACGGACCCAGGGCGAACGGACTATCAGGGCGAACGAACCCAGGGCGAACATGTAGTTAGGGCGAACGGACCCGATACCGGTTAATTCAAGACGTCATAATTTTTTGGATTACGATTCAATGTGATCTGTTTGAGATTTTTTGGTGCTTGCTACAATTATAATGATTTCTTACAAGAGGTATATCATACTGAGAATTATTTTAGCAGTAATTATGCTAATGTAGTAATGACAGGAATGCATAAGCTATGCCTCATAGACTTTCTTGAAAAATATCAATGACAATGTTAACAGGAACAAAACAATGACATGCTCTCATCTATATTATAGTTATTTAGGTACAAACAATGTATGTTTGTTGCATACGTCTCTCATTGTTTGTCCTCATTAGAGCTTATGTTTGTATGTTTGTCAATATGCCGAATCAAAATAAAGTTTTACTTACTTACTTACTTACTTTGTATTTACATAACATACATTTTGATGTACATTGATTCAGGCTAACATAGTTTTATCCAGATTGTAATGAATAAATCTAGTTAATATTTTGCCAGGTAGTACAAAGTATGCATTGCTAATGGAAGTTCATTTAATTATCAAAAAACTAATGTTTTATAACCTTTTTCAGGGTGCAAACCCACCATACAGAGACTTAAGTCTACTGCCATTCCCAGCCTATTTTCCTGGATTAAGCAAGAGACTGAATCGTCCGCAAAAAGAAAAATCAGGGCAGTTTCCTGTGAAAACAAAAGAACTAAACTTGATGAATATTGTAGTAGAAATCTAGAGGAAAGTTTTGATTGTAAAGTTGGTTTTCCTGAAGAAGTCATTCATACTGCAGACAGGATTTATGACTGTCCACCACCAACTGCCGAGCTAATGTTGAGCTTCACAGATGGAATTACGCAAACACCATCAATGCCTATATTTTCAGCAGAGAATTTTGAAATGAAGACACGTGACACAGCCATGCATTTTTATACCGGTTTAGAGTTGTATACTAAATTTTTATTTGTTTTCACCACACTTGGTCCAGCAGCACATTGTTTGAGATACATATATTTTCAAATTGATAGGGTGTCATTTGAAAATCAGTTTTTTTATGACTTTGATGAAATTGAGGCATTATACAACCAACTTTGAACTGTCTAGATTCTAGATTGAAACTAGTGTTAAGAATATTGTGTAAACATGGATTGTTTTTATGTCTAAACAGTGGCGTGAGGCTAACACTTGGCCATTAAGTGGTTTAGTCAGGTATTTTTCGCCATCCAACTTCAAATTAAAGTTTCCTACAACTTGGATTATTATTGACAGCACAGAATATCCCGTGATAAAACCTAAAGCTCCTAGAGCTCAGGCAACCTTTTCATCATATAAAAACAGAAACACTGAAAATACTTGTATGTTCGACACCTGGTGGTTTAGTCAACTATGTCTCTAATGCATATGTTGGTTGTACCAGTGACTGTGAAATAGTTGAAAGATGTAGAATAGTTCAATTATGTGATCCAGGTGACAGTGTGATGGCAGACAAAGGTTTAAATGTGCAAGATTTGTTTGCTCACTTTTTTCAAAAAAAGAAACAGAATTAGTTCCAAAACTCTTATACGGGATAGAAAAGTCTCCAATTAACACGTGCACATAGAGCTAATTATTGGACTTGGCAAAACATACAAAATTCTAATAAATCCTATGAATGGAACTGAAACAAAACTTTCATCTGAAATAACATTTAGTTGTTTTATGTTGTGTAATTTTAGAACTTGTATTGTGCCAAAGGATGCATAAATAAAAGTGACACAATGAAGTTTGTTCTGATATATATATATAAATATTATTTACAATTACATGCACATGTAAATTGTAATGCATATAAAAATAAGGAGATGTGGTATGATATTCAGTGAGTTTATCGAACCAAAGTGCATAAGAAATGGGTTAAGCAGTTACAGGTGTTACTGTCACCGTACAATCTCCAACAATTAGAAAAACTTGTACCGTGTAAAAAATTTCAGAGATCTTACAACTAAGTTTGACTTTGGTGAATTGTTTATATCTGTTGATGTAAATATAAAAAAGAAGATGTGGTATGATTGCCAATGAGACAACTCTCCACAAGAGACCAAATGACACAGAAATTAACAGCTATAGGTCACAGTATGGCCTTCAACAATGAGCAAAGCACATACCGCACATTGAGCTATAAAAGGCCCCGAAATGACAATGTAAAACAATTCAAACAAGAAAACTAACGGCCTAATTTATGTACAAAAAATGAACGAATAACAAATATGCAACACATCAACAAACGACAACCACTGAATTACAGGCTCCTGACTTGGGACAGGCACATACGTGTACATACAGAATGTGGCAGGGTTAAACATGTTAGGGGGATCCCAACCCACCCCCTAACCTGGGACAGTGGTGTAACAGTACAATATAAGAACGAACGATAAAAAATCAGTTGAAAGAGGCTTAACTCATCAGATGGATAAATACAAATACAAGTGGACGTGGCCGGGTAGTTGTACACATGTACATCCAAACAACAAAAAGACACTAAGTTAACAGATCTGAGAGTACTCGCATTTACTGACAGCTAGTTCAAAGCCACTAACAACTGATAAAAAAATCTTGCATCTAAGACTAAATTATCAATCCGTAAGCTCCCTTTAGAATTTTATAAATTTTAGATTTTACATTTCTGAGTTATGGGGTTTTATTCATTAAAAAAGGGGGGATTTTCCAGTTTTTGGACAACAACTCAAAAATGCTTTAAGCAGTTGGCATGAAACTTTGGTGAATTATTTATAGCTATTGATGTAATCTCCCTATTGATTTTCCTAAATTTCAAATATGACATTGAGAAGAAATTGAACTTTATTTGTTTATAGTCTGGCAACAGATTTATTAAGTATTGCGCAACAGCACAGTGTATTGCACAACAGCAAGAAATCTTTAATTGAATATAAATTCAATTCATATAACCAATTATAAGTTCTTTGACTACATTTATTCAGAAACTATAATATGTCAAATATTTAATTACAATCCAAATTCAGACTTGTATCAAGCTTGAATATTGTGTCCATTTTTGCCCCAACTGTTCAGGGTTGGACCTCTGCAGGTGTATCCAGCTGCGCTCAGCGAATCAGTTTATTTCTTAATTAAGAACTCCTTTTTGTCGAGTCTGTGACTTTTAACACAGAAAGCTCGACATAGGGAAAGTGATCCGGCGGCGACATTAGCTAACTTCTTAAAAGCTTTATATTTTAGAAGGTGGAAGGTCTGGATGCTTCATACTTTGTATATGGATGCCTCATGTTACGAAGTTTCCGTCAGTCACATGTCCAATGTCCTTGACCTCATTTTCATGGTTCAGTGACTACTTGAAAAAAAAGTTGCGATTTTTTGTAATGTTAAATTCACTCTTATTATAAGTAATAGGATAACTATATTTGGTATGTGCGTACCTTGCAAGGTCCTCATGCCCGTCAGACAGTTTTCACTTGACCTCGACCTCATTTCATAGATCAGTGAACAAGTTTAAGTTTTGGTGGTCAAGTGCATATCTCAGATACTATAAGCAATAGGTCTAGTATATTCGGTGTATGGAAGGACTGTCCAACTAGCAGGTGTTATCTGACCTTGACCTCATTTTCATGGTTCAGTGGTTATAGTTAAGTTTTTGTGTTTTGGTCTGTTTTTCTTATACTGTATGCAATAGGTCTACTATATTTGGTGTATGGAATGATTGTAAGGTGTACATGTCTAACTGGCAGGTGTCATCTGACTTGACCTCATTTTCATGGTTCAGTGGTCAAAGTTAAGTTTTTGAGTTTTGGTCTTTTTTTCTAATACTATATGCAATAGTTCAACTATATTTGGTGTATGGAAATATTTTATGATCTATTTGTCAGTCACGCAGTTTTTTTTTTACCTTGACCTCATTTTCAAGGTTCATTGCTCAGTTTTATGTTTTTGTGTTTTGGTCTGTTTTTCTTAAACTATAAGCAATAGGTCAACTATATTTGTTGTATGGAAGAATTGTTAGCTGTACATGCCTGCCTAGCATGGTTCATCTGACCTTGACATCATTTTCTTGGTTCATTGGTCAATGTTTAGTTTACTTGGTTAATGCTAAGTTTATGTGACAGTTGTAATAAAGCTTTATATTTAGGACTATCAACATAATATCAATGATTAGTAAAGATGTCGAGACATTTCAGCCTGTGCACTCTTGTTTCATTCATAAATTACTTTATACTTGGAAATATAATTTTGCTTGGAGTTATAGTTTCTAAAAAAAGTATTGTCATTGAAAGAGTTGACATGTTGCAATGTACATTTATTCTACATAGTTCTATGGTACCAAATCAAAAGTTTATATAAAAGAAAGAAGTCAAAGGTTTCCCATCATAGTTTAGTTACATACATTTTTTTTGTACCTGAGGTCGTTGAATATAAATAAGGAGATGTGTTATGATTGCCAATGAAACAACTATCATCCATACATTGTACCTACCAGTAACAAACCACATTTGCGAAGTTGAATAAAATACAGTTGATAACATTTACTTATTACTAAAAAGAAAATGCCAAACTATTTTAAACAGTATTTGACTATAAACATAGATAAAAAAAAGGTACAAAGTGGACATAATGCACTAGTTCATAAACAAGTGAGAACAATCGCCTTCATATAGTGCTCAGAATATGACATTCATAAAACTTGTTCAATATCATTAGAGAACTCTAAATCTTAAATACTGAAAGCCACCTCTGATAAGTACAATGTACTATGCAAGATAATGATATAACTGGACTAAAAATACACACAACCTGTAATTAACTGCCTTTACAGCGCTTTCGCGCTTTGATTCTTTTTCAGGCCCCTCCTATGATAGGAGAGGGGTATGATACTTTCTGGTTTGTGCACATCAGCTGTTATTTCTTTTGTCCATCAATCTGTCTTTTATATGTGAACATTTTTCACCAATTCAGTTAACCATAAAGTTTAGTCACTTTAACTTGAAAGAAATTTTCTTTGCAAATTCCCAGAAAATTTTTTTACCCTATTTTTACTGTTAACAATTAACATTGAAATGGGATAGTCTGAAACCATTACATACATAATTGTCTGGTTAAAGGTTATTGTTGAGGTAATATATCTATAAGTTCTTGTCATGTCAACTTGAAAGTGGGAGCAGGGAATGATGTTCTATAATCACATATTCTTGTTTGACTTCCTATTTATGAAAATACATTAAGAGAGATGCCAATTAGTTACAAAACAAAATGGAATAACCTTCTGTTTTATGTCAGACTGATAAACATGCATATAATATGTATTTTAGAGAACATTTGATACTTTCATGTTTTCATGATCTAAATATTTTTTAAACAGGATTAGACACTCACCAAGTTTTGAGCCTGTTAAAACAGGATGTCAACATTGCCTGTGCTAGGACACTGTTCAGTGGAAGAGTCAAACCTTTAACAGTCCAAACATTAAGAAACCTGTTGAAGTTCAAGTACGATACAGGGAATGCTGCCTTAGACCAAAGGGCAACCGGTCAAGGATTTTTAACATTTCTTCAGGCCACTAAAGGTGAGTATTTAGAGCTAAACCAATTTATTGATATACAGCATGATCAGACGATATTGATTTGATATTTGGTATATATAGTTTCATCATGACCAGTTACAGATCAAGTTCAAATTTTATTTGGTTCAGATGTTTGTTTTTCAGTGTTATGAGTTTGAAATTTCTATTGACACTAAGCACATATAAATGATTTATAGCACAGATTTCTTTGAAAAGTGATGTACTCAATGTTCAAAATGATTCCAATTTTATTTAAAAAATTGGAAAGAATCGAGAAGGCAGATTTGAATATAATTAAGATTTTAATGGACAAATAATTTATTTAAGAAAGACATTCATTGTTTTAAAACACGTTCTTATGAACTACCAAAAACAAGAGTGTGATATGGGAAACATTACTTCCCCCCACAATATCTATTCAGATGTAATGATCAGGAGTTTTTGGTTCTTCAGCAATTTCAAATTTGCTGTTAATTATGTATGTTATAACATGGTCAGTAGATAAAGATTTTTTTTTTTAAACAGGAACATCAACTGTTATAAATGGAATTGATATTGGTCCAAAGGAAGTCTTGATGTGGTTGACAGGGTCAACAGCAATTCCAGCAATAGGCTTTCACAAGCCAATAGATGTATGTTTCGGAAGCAGGACATTTGTAAACACCTGCGCCTTGGCATTGACCTTGGAGGTTAGACCTGAACTTGCCCCAGCTGAAGCTGTCAAGTTTTACAGCGAGATCATAATCAACAGCCAGACATTTACCCAAGAATGATATATATTATTATTTTGGCCATCTGTATTGTGTGAAAGCTAATTTTAATTATTTAAGGAATGATTGTAGCGGGTTATTTTAAAGTGTGCACCATATTTTTTATGTTATTTGGAATAGACCATTTACAAAGACCTGAAATGAAAGTTTTATAGTTCTCCATGAAAAGGGAACACATTTGACCCTGGAAATTATAAGGGTGATTCCATTAGTTCTTACTTTGGCAAGCTGTTAATAAATTAATTCTATAAAAAGTCAAATCTTAATCAACAAATATCAGATAAGTTTAAAAAAAATTGTTGCACTGCAGATCACATAATTTCACTAAAATCAGTAGTTGATCATTATTAACAACAAAATTAATATTTGCAGCTTTTATCGATCTTAAAAAGTCTTTGATACAGTTTGGCGAATAGGATTGTTTAATAAACTTTTGATACATGATATTCCAAATAGAATTTTTAGAATTGTTTATTCAATATTTACTGACTTAGTATGCAGAATCAAGTTCTCAAATGGACTCAGTTCAGCATTTCTATCTGAGCTAGGAGTAAAACAAGGAGATGTACTGAGCCCTGTACTTTTTAATTATTATATTATTGACCTCACTAATGCTTTAATCAATTGTAATTCTGATTCAGTTGTAATTGGGGATTTTTCTTAAAATATTCTTCTATATGCAGATGATATTGCTTTATTGTCTCAAATTAAAAAAAGGGCTACAAAACAGTCTTTATTTCTGTGTCATTTGGTCTCTTATGGAGAGTTATCTCATGGGCAATCATACCACATCTTCTTATTAGCTCACCTGGCCAGAAGGGCCAAGTGAGCTTGTCTCATCACTTGGCATCCGTCGTCTGTCGTCCATCGTCTGTTAACTTTTACAAAAATCTTCTCCTCTGAAACTACTAGGCCAAATGAAACCAAGCTTGTCCACAATCATCATTGGGGTATCGAGTTAAAAAATTTGTCCGATGACCCGGCCAACCAACCAAGATGGCTGCCATGGATAAAAATAGAACATAGGGGTCAAATGTAGATTTTGGCTTATATCTCTGGAACCGAGGCATTTAGAGCAAATCTGACATGGTATAAAATTAATTATCAGGTAAAAATTTATCTGCTCAGAAACTTTCAGACGAATCTGAAAACCCGTTGTTGGGTTGCTGCCCCTGAATTGGTAATTTTAAGGAAATTTTGCAATTTTTTGTTATTATCTTGAATATTATTATAGATAAAGATAAACTGTAAACAGTAAAAATGTTCAGCAAAGTAAGATCTACAAATAGGTTAACATGAACAACATGGTCATTTGACCCCTTAAGGAGTTATCCTTTATAGTAAATTTTTAACAAATTTTTGTAAATTTTTGTAATCTTTCAAAAAACTTCTCCTCTGAAACTACTGAGACCAATTTATCCAAACTTGGTCACAATCGTTATTAGGGTATCTAGTTTAAAAAATGTATCTGATGACCTTGCTTGCCAACCAACTAAAAAAAAAACATAGGGGAAAAATGCAGTTTTTGACTTATATCTCTGAAACTAAAGCAAAAGTATAACAGTTGCATTATTTCATGCATCAATTGTAAATAAAAATATCAGGTGAGCGACACAGGCTCCTGGAGTCTCTAGTTTATATTTATGCTTTACATGATAATTGTAACTGTTGGAAGCTACAAGTTAAAACGGATAAGTCCAAAGTTATTGTTTTTAATTCAATTGGTAAACCTTTTTTTTTACAAAAATACACATGTAAATTAAATTTTCTGTGCTACTGGGTTTTCAGATCCCTGGATTAACAAAACCAAAAATATTTTACAAAATTTAAGATATTCATATCTTGTAGATAAAAGTTGTTTAACAAAAAGCACTTAGGACAAGTAAATCAAGGAATTTATGATCAGTGCTTGCAAAATCAATTGCAAATATGCCAGAATCTTCTAATCTTAATTTCTTTCTTAAAATCTACACAATGTGTCAAACATTATCATATGTTGATATATTAAACAAATTTGAATGATACTGTCCTGTATGTGATAATGGGAAAATTGAAGATGAAAAACATTTTTAATTACAATATGATAGATTTACCTCAAAAAGAGAACTATTACAAAATAAAATAAGTGTTTTATTTAAAATATAGCGTAAAAAACATTAACAATGTTAAAAAAGGATATGTCTATTAGTAGACAATAGCTCAGCATTATTGAGTAAATATAAGGAATAGTGAAATATCAATATGTAACTTTTCATTCTGTCATGATGTATTTACATGTAACTTTTCATTCTATCATGTCAATTATTATAATTATCTATAGCAATAGGTCTTAACCATTTATTGTTAATGAGTTTGGGTCAATAAAATATATGTATTTGTGAAGCGAGGGCATACAATACAGTTTCGATCCCATGATTTTGACAAAAATTTCTTTTCCTTCAATCTTTTTTTCACCTTAGCAATCCAAATATGTAACAACAAATATATACCTTCATGTGATACTTTAATAGGATAATTGGGGTTAAAATTTTTGACATTTACTTAAAATTTTGTTTTTTTTTACATTTCTATCCTTTGGATTGACATACATGTACCTTAATTTTTTGTTTTAAAAGATAAACACAAGTGGATTTTTGTAAAAACATTTGGAAAAATCTTCTTTACATAAGTATGCTTTAGATTTGTGTAACAATTGTTTGGAAAGAAATAGTTTTTATCAAAGTTTCAGGATCATTGAAAAAAACATTTTTAGCTGTATATTTATCTAATTTTATAAAAAAATATTGTTGACTTTTTCATAAAAATTGGTACAAAAAATCTTCATACATATTGAAACCAAATGTCATTTTAAAAAAGAGGGGTCCATGAACTCGTTTTCAAGTTAAATCAGTATGAATGATAAAAATCAGTCAAAAAACGCATCTTTTCCCTATATGTCACAGTTTGAAAAAACAAATTGAACTACACCTATTTAATCAGTTACTGAAGGTATAGGTTCCCTCTGATCTGAATTTAATGATTCAATGAATAATAAAACATCCTTGTATAACTGAATACCATGAGTTAAGTTTTTATAGTCTTCGGTTAAATTTATCCTGTCTCTCAGCTGTTGCATATCACCATCATCTAAAGGGCTATGAATCCGTGGTAATTCAATTTCATCAAAACTGTTATCTTCATGATCAGAGTTATTATCCTCTATTCCATAGTCATCTGTGATATGTTCTAGAGAGTCGTTACTACCTGCCTGTAACAACAGGTCAGCAATTGAAACATTGTTTGTATTTATTGTTTGTAAAACTCCCTTGATAAATAACTGATAAGGAGTTTTGCTTCCCTCTGTACTTAAGCCGTGATGATTATGCTGGTATACAAACATTTGAAGTGACTTGTTTATTCTTGGTAAAAAAACATATTGGAATGCCCACAATTGGCGTGCACATGTAATGTCTAACATGTAGATATCTTCCATGTATGAAAATAAATCATAGTATTCATTAGATACAGACTCCCAAAGATCAACCCATAATCTTTCAATTCTTTGGTTATGGGCGCTTTTGCCTTTTATTGCACTACCTCTATTTGTACCACGATAACCTTCCATGAAGGTGCATATATCTACATTTTCACCGCCATGATCCACTCTGATACGGGAAGGAACTCCATGTTGTGTAGTGGCCTCAATAAAAAGATCATACACTGTGGTTGACTGGTTATTATTGCTGGCATGTAAAAAAGTAACAAGGCGACTGTAGCCATCAATACCACCATGGATAACAATATTCCACCTAAATTAAAAAAAAAACCAAGGAGATGCCATGAAAAGTCATGCAAAAAATTCCAAATCTAATTTATTAAAACATATATTTATATTTATAAAAAATTAAAACTATAAACATGTGATAATGCAGCCATAGTCTAACACTTAATGATACACTAGGAATGATAAATGTATTTTAAAAAAGGTTTTGATATGGACATTATTATAGGAAGCAAGACAACTCACCCCACACCAAATCGTGCCACCTTTGCACCAACTCATTCCACTTCATCCTACTCCACCACTCTTGTTTGCCAACTCATACGGACTTATGAAAAGTATCCAAATCCCCACGAATTCACTACTGACAAATCAATATTATAGTGAGTAGAGTGAGTTGGCAGACCTTTATTCATCGGGATTATACCATTTATCTAAAGAGGCAATTTTGCAGTAGGGAGAGTTGTCATGGATTCATATATATTAGTTTAAAAAATGTGTCCACCTGCCAACCAAGATGGTTGACATGGCTAAAAATAGAACATGAGTAAAATGCAAGGTTTGTCTATTATTTCGACCATTATAAATAGAGAAAATCTGACAGGGCAAAAATGTTCAGAATGATGAGCTCTACCTATTGTCCATAATACGTCAAAACTATCAGACGACTTCTTAGAAGTTATTTCCCTTAAATGAAAAATTTTACCATTTTTGTTCATTTTTGTTCATTTTTGCTATTATCTTGAAAACTATATAAGTAGATACATGTATAGAGAAACTTTAAATTGCAAAATTCAGCATGACATGTTCTACAAATAAACTTGCATGGTCCAAATCGTAAGTCGACTTCTCATTAGAGTTTTTATTCAGTTTTTTATCCTACATTGATGTTTTGATGTCGTCCCTCATACCTTGAAAATTTTAATAGACCGATAGAAACTCAAATAAGCAAAAATGATCAGAGAGACAAAATCTATAATTAAGACGATATGGGGGAAATTGTCCTTATTGGAATTATTGCCCTTTGATGACGATTTTACATTTTATTTTTGCGTTTTGCCTGATATGTTAAAAAATATAATTCACTTAAATATGAGGGTATGTTCTACTACATGTAACATGTCAAAGTTTGCAGATATAATTAGGAGACTGTCATTCTTCGTAGGAGTGATAACCCTTAAATGAACTTTTTCTTTACTTTCGGGATTTGAGCAAAAATTAAAGAAGAAAAAGGGACACTAAATAAACTAAATGATCAGCAAAACAAGATCAACAAAGCACGATATTTTGTCATGAATTCTGTTCTTGTCTACAATGTCAGAGAGTGTCCTTTGTTGAATATGCTTATAGACTAAGATGAGTGACACAGGCTTAGCCTCTAGTTTAATATACCTTATAAGTTTGTGGTTCCCATCTATATGCCACAATGAATTTGGTCCAGCAACTTTATATGTCCTCCTATGAACATTTTGTCTTTCAATTGATCTCAAAGCACAGCCAACAGGATCAACTCTGTGGCAAGCATCTCTGACACGTTGGCGTGAAATATCAGTATTGTCCATGGCAAGACGAATCCGTATTGAGTTTGGACCTATTCTTTTATTGGTTCCAATTATGTTCTTGACTTTATCATCCAATTCCTCGTTTGAGATAATAGTTTCCTTTCCTTCCCTTAACTTTATGTTAAACTCTCTGAAAATAATTTTAAAGATCAAATGAATGTACAATTTAAACTTAAATATGTAAAAATTTATGTCACTTTGGTTTAAATTGACCTCACAGTTGAATAATGAATAATTTAATGAATAATTAACCTCTCCAATGAATAATTTCCTCCTTCACCCTGAATGTCATGACTAAACAGCAGTATTCCTTCTACGAAAGACAGAGTCCAAGTGGTTCCTTGCGACTTCATTATTTCATGAGTTACATATTTCATATCCTCTTTTGGTCAACTGAAGCGAACACAAATTCAATCAGGTTTCTTATTTGTGTGGCCATAATAATTCTTTTATATATGAAGTGAATTTTTTTTAAATATTTTTTAAAGATGTTTAACACAAAAGATAGGATTTATAATAAATGCACATTATCACAAGACAGCAACTTTGTTTAACAAAATTCATGATGGGTTATCCTATATATGCAAACCTGAGTCTCCTGCGAATAGTGGATTCTGATATTTGAAGTGTTTCTGCCATTAATGGAGCTGTAAATTTGTACTTCGCTAGGAATACCAATTGATCCTTTGATATATCCAATTTTGGTGCTCCAGCAGTTCCAAGATGTGTCCTCTTTGTTTTGAATGCTGTTATATCTTTAAAAGAAAATGTATATACAGAGTGAAATAATGAAAGGAAAAAACCCCAAATACAGCCTTTATTACAGGTACTAAGCATAGTATTGTTATATTTTGAATACAGATTACACAGCTGTTTGACGATGTCGAAGGCTGCTATTGAGCATGATATTAAGGTCCATATTTGGATTTGTTTGTTATCAACAAGTATATTTTCCTCACAAAATGTCATAAATGTAATGTATATCATAATATTCAATGTCTATATATATATATATAAATAGGAAGTACTCTCAGATCTGTACTCCGTGGTTTTTTTTGTTGGGATGTACAGTCAAACAAGATGGAGAACAATCAGAAAAAATCGGGGTAACATCTGTAGTGCCTTTGGGCGCCGTCCTTGGCCCAATTTTATTCCTCATATGTATTAATGATTTCCTGGAATACTTACAACATAGCACCTTAATATAAAAAAGAAGATGTGGTATGATTGCCAATGAGACAACTCTCCACAAGAGACCAAATGACAGAAATTAACAAATATAAGGTTATTTGCTGATGACAGCATCATCTATAGAAACAGCAAAAATAAAGATGATGCATCAAAATTACAACAGGACTTAGATTCAGCGGCACATTGGGAAAAAGATTGGTTAATTTCATTCCATCCAGACAAATGTGCCATACTAAGAATCACACCAAAAAAAAAAAGAAACCAGTCGACCATGACTACATCCTTCATGGTCACATACTTCAAACTGAAGCAGCTGCTAAATATTTAGGCATAACCATCCAATCAGATCTCAAATGGAATAAACATTAAGAATATAACAGCAAATGAAAATCGACAACTAAATTTTCTAAAACGTTACCTAAAAGTATCATCCAAACAAATAAAAGAAAGGGCATACAGACCTAAGCTTGAGTACAGCTCTTGTGTCTGGGCATTTTCGAAAGTTAGCAGGTATGGATTGGGGTCTCGCTTACATGTTTAACACCGCCACATACTGTATGTATATATGTGCCTGTCCGTACTCAGGAGCTTGTAATTCAGTGGTTGTCGTTTGTTCCGGTGTTACATATTTGGTTTTTCATTTATTTTTTTGTACATTAATAACGCCGTTATTTTTCTCTGTTGAATTGTTTTACATTTGTCATTTCAAGGCCTTTATTCAGCTGTTTATGGCTGACTAGGCGGTTTGAGCTTGGCTCATTGTTGAAGGCCGTACGGTGACCTATAGTAGTTAATTTCTGTGTCATTTGGTCTCTTGTGAAAAGTCGTCTCATTTTGGCAATCATACCACATCTTCTTTTTTATATAAAAAATATTGTTCTCTTGCTTTAGCATTCGACTTTTTTTTCGTCTTGTCAAAGTAGATAAGAACAGGTTTTGTCTATTATTATGCACTGTACCTGTGCATTCATTTCAGGATTTGAAGGATTTTTCGTGGATTGAATATTCATTTCCTTCTGCAACGCATGCTATTTTTTTCCCACGAGTTGTTTCCTGCATTTTGTGTTGCAGACTAGTCATTCCTTTTCATTTTCAATCTGTCATGTTCAATTTTATTCACAATTAAGCACTCCTCTGTCACCACTAGAAAAAAATAAAATTGTCGTCCCCTATCACTAAAACATTCCGTCATAAATATGATTAATAGCTATGCATGGTTTAAGTATTTCAGTTATTCTTTTCTAAAGATGTAAACAATTATTCCTTAATACGGGGCTCAGCATAGAACTAATACGTATCACAGTCTATATATATATATATGTAAAATTGTGTTGTCTGTCCTTGTGTTTTTTGTAAATTGCAAATGTGTAGTAGTCAAAAAATCATTGCAACCCATTCAACGCATTAGCCAATGACTTGGCGGGAATATTTGTATGCCTAATTTATGCATAACCATATAAGGTAGTTTACCGAACATGTGGATTGTGGCAAACCAAGCCAAGATTTTTTAAAGAATTTTCACAGACTTTATTACAATAATGTTCGTTATAAAATTTAAAACATAGATATCTCTTTTTTAAATGTTGTGCTAGCGTTTACTGTATAAAAAACAACAACAACTTTACAATACAGAAAAAACCTGCATCAAAAAGGTAGATGGTCCATGAACTAATATCTTTATCTAATAATTCGGAAATAATTGCTAGCACTACATGCTTTAGATGAATTCCCTATCTAAGAACAGTATTGTTCATTATAAAAGTACAAAAGTAAAATCTGCGGATTCTCTATAAAATTTCATATGTTAAGAGTGAAACTACAAAAGGGTGCATAATCCTTAAGCCAAGAGACCTTCTACTGACTGTACTTACCACTACTAGCACTTAAATGATTATTTGAAGTTCTATCGATTTCGTCGTTCATCTCATTAACAATGGATATGAGGTCATTTTTCTCATCATCAGATATCAATATGCCACCAGCTCTGTTTATATCTCTAGATAATGTAAGCATCCTACAACGCAGTAATCAACAATATAATGGTATAGTCGAGAGAAAAAACATGTCATCCTGAACCAAATACATGATATCCCAAAGAATGTATAGGCAAATTTAAAAAGTATACTAGTGATACTATACGCCTATATAAAGTTGCACCAAAAATCAGTTAATTTTCTTCTGATTCTGCTCCTCCTTATAATCTTGTACGTACCACATTTTCTTTCATATTGAAGAATCAGCTTCATTGTAAAGCAGTATTATTATAACTTTCAATTTTCCTTAATGTTTGGTCTCTGATTGAAGTTACATTGTAATAGTTTTGATTAAAAGTACAACTTCACTGTCAAAAATTTTCATCTTTATACAGTAAATGACTATATCATTTTGTATAAAGCTGTAATATGATATTACCATAACAACACACATTTTTAAGTATGGAGTATTGTATTATAGTTTTATATTTGTTACCTTAATTTCAAATTGTCAATGATCTGTGGTGTCAGCGAATCTGAAGATCCTAAACGTGCACAGTAATCTATAGTTGATTGTACCTGTCGCAAAAAACGTTCCTTGTCCGATTCGGCCATCTTAAATATTTCTGTTATTACTTTGTTTAGAAAAAACCGCAGAATCATGCAGAAATTTCCATTGTTAAGTGGTTTTTGATTGGTCAGTACAACTCCCAAATGTATCTAGATACTTAAAAGCAAATTGAAAAGTATTTGTATTCAGTTTAACTATTTCAATCTAGATAGTTAGTCTTAGTAACTAGATACTTGTTTAAACTATCTAGATACTTGTGCGAAGCATCTAGATACTTGTGCGAAGCATCTAGATACTTGTGCGAAGCATCTAGATACTTGTGCGAAGCATCTAGATACTTTAACGAAGCATCTAGATACTTGTGCGAAGCATCTAGATACTTGTAGGAAACATCTAGATACTTGTGAGAAGCATCTAGATACTTGTAGGAAGCATCTAGATACTTGTGCGAAGCATCTAGATAACTTGTTAGAACCATCTAGATACTAATTAAAAGTAACTAGATGCTTTCAAGTAGTATCTAGATGGAAAAAGGTATCTAGATAGTTCGCTAAAGTATCTAGATGTATCTTACAACCATCTAGATACTTATACGAAGCATCTAGATACTTGTTGAAAGTATCTAGATGCTTGTTGAAAGTATCTAGATGCTTTCAACAAGTATCTAGATGGAAAAACCAACTAGATGAAACCATCGCTATTTTGACATGAACGGCCACTCATAAAAGACCCTATAAGTGAATCAATATTAACGCCAAAATATCATGCGGCAATCTTTAATGACCTGACAACAGTATCGTAACTATATCCCTTCTTAATAAGTCTGTTTAAAGGTTTTGTTAGCTTCAGAGGTGAATACTGACATTTTTGTGCTTTATAAAGAATATTTCCATAAAAAATTGGATGTGAAATACCTGAACGTATAAGAAGTCTGCATGTTGAGCTATATTTACGAATGATGTCATTATACCGATGATAAAATTTAGTAAATGTTTTGACTAGTTTGTGATATCGAAAACCCTGGTGTAATAATTTTTCAGTAATACATAAATTTCTCTCGTTAAAATCTAAAACATTGTTACATACACGAGCGAATCGTACAAGTTGAGATATATAAACACCGTAAGATGGTGACAAGGGAACGTCACCATCTAAAAAAGGATAATTAACGATAGGAAATGAAAAATCATCTCTTTTATCATATATTTTAGTATTAAGCTTTCCATTAGTGATATAGATATCAAGATCGAGGAAAGGGCAGTGGTCATTGTTAGTATTAGCTTTATTTAAAGTAAGTTCAACAGGATAAATTTCTTTAGTATACATACTGAAGTCGTCATTATTGAGTTCCCTTTAGTTCGACTCAAACGAAAACAAGAGGTTTAACAGACCAGGGGACACAACTCTTGCTTAGCTTTGTAAGGCTAAAATAAATCCAGATGAATATGGGAAGGGAATTGATATATATTCTGGTCTGAAATCAATGTATCTGTATGGAATGGTCTTTTTTTATTATAATAAATTTATATGCTTTTTCGTCTCTTATTTATTTCTTCGTACAGTTACAACTTTTTCCTGTGTTTTTTGCCAAGAGAGTAATTTCCAATCGATTGTTAACTGTAAATATAAAATTAACATTTCGACTCATTCCATTTTTGCTCATCAGAAGTCGAAATACATATATTTATATGAAACAAAGTTGCTAACTAGGGAAAACTTTGACTCATCCAAAATTTCAAGTCTGAGATTGAACATAACTTAACCACGAAAACTTAACAATAACCAATGACCATGATGACACATGAAAATGAGGTCAAGGTATGAAGACCCCAGTCAGACAGACATGCACACCTTACAATCACTCCATACAACATGCATGTACATTTAATTTGTATATATTTGACTTATTGCTTCAACATGTAGTATCTGAGAAACATACTACAGCACAAAAATGTAGCATTGACCAATGAACCATGAACATGAAGTCATACTTGAAGATCTAATGAACCCTGTCTGAAGGATCCCATATACAAAATGAAGTTATCCTATTACTCATAATAAGTGAGAAATTCACATGACAAATTGGTTTAAAGCTGTCGCTGAACCACGAAATTGAGTTCAAGGACAATGGACATATATGACAGACAGAAACTTTGTTACACAACCCATCTGTATACAAGGTATGAAGCATCAATCTCTTTTACCCTCTGAAATATAGCATTAAACAAATTGGTTATGCCATCACAGCTCGCATTCTTCGTCTTTTTGACACAAGCCAGACAAAATTTACTTGCATAAAGCAAGTAAAATCACAGTCTGTAAGTTATAAAAAAATGTCATACATGAAACATGAAGAATATCAATCAACAAAGACGGAAAAGCCCCAAAAATATCCGTACATTTTTTCCAGAAAAGACAAGATTCAAATTGAAAAAAATCTTTATTTCAGCCACTAAAGTTCCATATATATATATATATATATCACAAAATTTTCTGTCTTGATAGGATAAGATGTTAAAATATGTACAGTATCAAATAAATACTTATAGTTAAGAATCTTAGAATTAAGATGATTAAAAAAGAAAAATATTTAGAACTACAGGATTTTAAAAAAAGACAGTCAATTTGTAAATTAAGAATAAGTGCTCACTCTTTAAAAATTGAGACAGACAGATATTCAAAAAAATATATAGAAAGATCTGAGCGTCTTTGTTCAAATTGCTCACTTGGTAAAGTTGAAGATGAGCTTCATTTTTTGTTAGAATGCCCTCTTTATGATATTTAAAGGGAAGATTTTTTTCAATACATTTCTAACAATTGTTATAATTTAAAAAATTTAAATAAATCTTCTATATTTTTATGGCTTTTGACCCAAGAAAATGTAACTCTTATGGAAAAATTGGGCTGTTATATTTGTGACTGTTTTGAATTAAGGAGATCAGGTATGAATATTGACACTAAGTCAAGTAAATGATTTGAGAATGAATGCATATAATGTAATTTTATTCTTTTATTCACAATATATATGTGGTTTTTGGCTCTGATTCTGACCAATGCTAATATACTAAATATATATTTACAAGTGACTATTATTGTTGTTGTTGCCAATTATGTAAATCAATTGTATCTGATTTTATGCCCTTTATGGGCCCTGTAATTTGGGAAATAAAAATATTCTATTCTATTCTATTCATCTGGGACTATTATATTAATTTAGTATAATAGTCCCAGTATTCACATTTATATATGATTATCAACATTATTGTGTCAATTATCTAACTCATAGTAATAAATTACTTTGCTCTTCATGGGCCCTTTGATTGGAATAAAATGTCTTGAACATTGATTATACTGCCAGTTGGGACTAATAGTGGAGTGACTAAGTCGAGGAACTCCTTGCATACTTTTGGCTAAATATTTTATGTACAGTTTATGTCTCTGCATCAATTAAAAAATGTTTTAAAGGGACCATAAGAGCCTCATACGGCAGTGTTAATTCTGGAACACCGCGATTAAACTGTTACCAAATAAGAATATGTTAACTGTATTTCGAGAATAAACTCTATAGTCGACAAATATGTCATATAGCCGAACTGAAGTTAATAACTTGTCAACTGTTGCTTTAAAAAAGATGAAATCCCACGACTTACTGATTTTCTTATAATGTGGGAGTATAAAACGTCTGCCATGCATAGACCATTTTTCTTATTGGGCAACAATAAACTGTTGTCATGTTGCTAGGTTTGGTGTATATCACCGGAGCGTACGTGGGCTTGAAAACGGTATTTACAAATTTGAATTCTGATAACTTTTTGTAAAAGATGAACCAAATTGGGAAATTTTTGTCAGTGTTTTCTGCAGAAATGGGTATCTAAGTTGTAACTTGAAATCTGAGCTTGAAATAAGTCGAAGAAATATCCAAGACATATCAGATGTATAAAAAGAAGATGTGGTATGATTGCCAATGAGACAACTCTCCACAAGATATATTGTGACTTGGATGGAGAGTTGTCTCATTGGCGCACATACCACATCTTCTTATTTATATTGACATCTTTAAACTTGATTTTGAAAAAGTCATTTCTTAAGTCAGGAATCTGATGTTCAGTAGTTGTCGTTTGTTGATGTGGTTCATAAGTGTTTCTCGTTTCTCGTTTTTTATATAGATTAGACCGTTGGTTTTCCCGTTTGAATGGTTTTACACTAGTAATTTTTGGGGCCCTTTATAGCTTACTGTTCGGTATGAGCCAAGGCTCCGTGTTGAAGACCGTACTTTGACCTATAAAGGTTTACTTTTATAAATTTTGACTTGGATGGAGAGTTGTCTCATTGGCACTCATACCACATCTTCTTATATCTATTTGATACAGTACCTCGCGAACTTCTAAAAAGTAAGGTCAGTAGATATTGAGTACGAACAAACATATTAAATTGGATAGACTCATTTTAAATACAGAGGACACAATGATTGGTAGTAAATGGTTGCAAGTAAAAAACAACACGAGTGCTCTCAGGTGTCCTGCAAGGCACTTTCTTAAGTGGAGGATCCAGGGGGGGGGGGGGGGGGGGGGGGGTCCGGGGTTGCACCCCCTTTTTTGGACGACCAATGCATTTGAATGGGGACATATGGTTGGAACCCCCTTTTAAAAATGGCTGGATCCGCCCCTGGTCTTGGATCCGATATTAATTCTTGTACAAATCAACTAAATTTCTAAAAATAATACATCCTAAATCAAACTATTTGCCGATGACTGCGTTTGCTATAGATAAATTAGCACCATCAATGATTGTTACAAATAACAGGAAGGCATAGACAGCAACAACATGGTGTATGAGATTTTAACCAGTCAAATGTCACATGATGACACTAAGCAGGAAGATTAGTAATGTATAATTGGTTTAAACTCTGAAATGCACCAAACTGGTATTTCTCTAATTAATCAAATATCTTGGCGTAAACATCAAAAGTAACTTACAATGTGGAAAACAAGTTGAAGAAACCTATAACAAAGCATACAGAACACTGGGATCCCTATCAAACGTATCTCCAGGAGAAATTATAAAACTTAAAAAAAAGAGCGGTTCCCTTTAATTCAACAAATTACAGAGATTATAAATCCAGAACAATAATAGCAATTTTGAAACATCTCAATTTACCCACAGTGTAGGATACTACTTCTACATAAAGTACTAAACAAAAAATATACCAACAGAGAAATTGAAAATATCTGGAAAAATTACCAAATCCATGCATATACATCATTTCCTCAGACCACCATCAAAAACAGACTCGCTCAAATTTATCTTTATCCCGAATACCAT